CTCACCTTTGAAGAACAACTATGTAGCATGTAATTTTAAGAATATCTTAAAAAAATGTGTTTGATAATAATTATTGAGATGACATCATCATGTTTTTAGAAGTATATATATAAACATCACTTTTTATGCAAGAAATTGAAAAATTTTCGGGGACCCTATCTCAGAGGAAACGAGCAAATGAGTCTGGGAGTCCCTTGTGTGTTTCTTTTTTTTTTTTTAATTTAGAGCCCCCTATATATTATTTTTGTAACAATTTGAAAAGATCTTGGAGATTCCTGGTGTTGTTTTTTTTTTTTTAAAGAGTTTCAAAAAATCTTAGGGGCTCATAGTTTTTTTTAAATTTTATATTCCAACAAATCTCGCCTTGAAAAATCATATTTTTTTTGTGATAGATTGTGATAACATCTATAACATAAAAATTAGTGGCGTAGTAACACTAGGGGTTCATACGAAACAATTTTGAATAACGATTTACCTTGCTTACGATAAATTTTAAAACATTTCTAAGATTTCAGGGCATTCAGTTTTGCAGTTTCAAAGTTGAATTCCAAAATGTTGTTATAAAAATTTGTGTTTTTTTTAATAGTCTGGATGTCTAAGGTAAAAACTCAAATCCATGAGAATCTCATTTTATAAAATTAAATCATATTTAATATTGTACATTTTGGAGATGACGTCATCCCATTGTTTGTGGGGACGATTATGTCTAATCATCTCTGCCAGTAATAGGATGACGTCATCTCCAAAATTTACAATATTAAAGATGACTTTTGATGAATTTTGGTAAGTTTTGTCATATAGACGATAATCCTAACATACATATACAATTTGACAGCAATCGGTCCAGTAGTTTCCAAGATTATCTGTTTAATAAAAATTGACACAGAAGACAGATAGAGAGACAAATAGACAGACGGAAAGGGGAGACCTATTTTTTCGTGCTGTAGGGGTCATGAAACGTCGAAAAAACAAGAAATTACGACGGATTCGATTACAGTACTTCCCTACCTTACACACGGGAAGCAATAACATTTGTAGAATAATTTTACAATTTGTCTAAGAAAGTGAACTTGATTTATTATCTGTACTGCAGTTCCAATAATAAATTTAAATTAATATATTCTAACGTTTATTTCGACGGAAATTTTAAATAAATCTGTTATGTGATCTCCAGATGAATTGTAACGATTGATGCTTGATTTTTTTTAACCCGTCTCGTCATAGTAAAAAATAGTTTGTTAAACTGCAGGTAGGAGCATAAATATCATATTACACACTTCAGATGGCATTTGCTTGAAAATGTTTTGACACTGCACACTGTTTTAATCATTAATAATAGTAATAACTGAATCATATGTTATAAATCTTCTGAATAAATAAATCTGAAAGCCCACCCGGTCTGTATTTCGATGATTATCTAAATTTTTAATAAAATCGACGACTCCACACATTTTCGTATTCCAAGATTTATAGGGCAGCAATAGAATATGAAATTAGCTCTTTATTAACAAAATGTTAACTTCGACAGCCAAAATCAAAGGGTATTTTTGGCATACTTATGTCATTTTCCAATATTTTCAGAAGCCTTCAATTGGTCTTGGTATTCAAAATATATGATTAAAAAATTTCAACAATGTTTCAACACACTTACAATACTGATTCAACAGAGAGGATCACATGGGCTCATAAAACGACTTATGTATTCATAATTCTTCAAATCTTCAATGTTTATTAATCTTGAGAGTTCTTTTTTCCTTTTCAGTAACAAAAAATAAAATTTTAGGAAGTCCCAAAATATTGCTCAAAATTACTATACTGCTTTGTATATCTATCAACTGTTATTACTTTTTTGTTAGAATCAATGACATAAACTGGTTCAAAAGATTCTCAAACTAGTTAATCAGTGACGTCATCGTATGAACCAGTTTAGCTCTAAAATGCAGCGAAGTGATCTACTCCGATCAAATCAATCGTAAGCTAAAGGCAGATATAATGATCGCTTGTACTAGAAACATCTAAATTACGATTTTTGAAAGTCATCTTGAAGGAACAATGGTGAATCAACCCAAAACCCGCATTATTATGATATAATCATTATAATCTATAGCATAACAGATTTACAATAGGAAACACAGTGACAACCCATTCTATTAATAGATGTAGCGAAACAAGTCCGTTGTAGATATTAATTTCACCTAGACACTATCACAACAAACTCGTCTAATAAACCGTAAGTGTAACCTTGGTCAGGCTATACAATGGTAGTCTATTGAACCATTCATAAACCCGCTAATCTCCCACTACAGAAAAAAAACTGGATGTAATTCCCAGCCTTGTCCTTTCAATTCAAAGGATACTAATTTGTTCACGAAATTAACACTGTGCAAAATCGATCCATTAATCACATAACACGAAACAAGTAAGTTAGGCGTGACCAAATAATAAAGCCTTCTACATTTGTTGCCATAAAAACTCACCTCCCATCAAGATTCAAATTAATTAAACAGAACGAAATATGCAAAAGCTTTAGCTTGTTGTGGCGTTTGTCTTTTTGTGCCGACTGTAGTTACATACGTATTTGAGATATTCCTATAAATAGTAGAAACCATTATCCTTGATACTGGAATCCTTAATGCCTTTGCTGCTGTCGCGGCTCGTCGGGAAGCCCATAACAGGACGGAATATGAGGATGGTAATAAGTTGCGAACAGTATATGGACAAGTTTGGCCAGAAATGTAGAAATTGTTTTCAACCCACTGCAAACCCAAGCTGACAAATCAACACGATAAATGTAATTAGTTGAGTTGATTTATGCGCCCATATTATTACTCTTATCTATAATTGAATAAGGGTAAATTTGCTCAAAAGGATAAAGCTCGCAATTTACATATTCATGGTTTGTGTCGGATTTCTCCTTTTCAGCGTCATAAATACGACAAAGATTTTCCATAATTCATACTTGTTGCACGAGAACATCAGACAGTGGGATAGATAGCGTATTTCAGAACTCGTTGTTTGCGTGGTAATTTATAGACAATAGTGACAAACGTACATGCAACTACATTTGCTTACATTTTACCACTATGTGTACAGCGTGTACGAACTTTTCTTCGCTGGAATAAAATAGAAAAATTATCGTCTTCTCGGCGTCTTGCTAAAATATTTCATTAGAAGAAATGTGATAATGAACGAGTTATAGGCGAGGATCAACCGCAGATCACGGGTTAAAAACCTTTTAATTATATGCAACTGTGAAGTTTTTTTTGTAATTTATTACGTCGGGTCAATACGGCTGCTGCTTTGCGTTTGTGTTTGATATTCTAAACCAATAACTTCCATTAATAAAAAAAGTTTGTGTGAAATTTCATACACTAGTATTCGTGCGTTGTCTGGTTTTAAAATGATAAATGGAATTCATTGTATGAAAAAAGATACTATATGTATTCACTGAAAATATTTTTATTTACAGTTGGTCCTGACTAAGTTGCTCCCGTTGGCCTTAAGAATTTATTTTATAAAACAACACGTCGGTTAAGCAACACTTGTATATGAATCATATTGTAACTTTATGTTTAAATTTAATGCAGTTTTTCGACACAAAACGATTTTACTGTATCTCATTTCCGACAAAAAAGTCGGTAATGTTTCTTTAGTAGTGTCCGGAGTTTTGTAAATTGAAAACAGTGGCGAAAACCACGTTCCAAAATTTCTGTAAATAACTGAAATTTTGATTTTTTAAAATGTAAGGAAAAATTTCGCCAAAAAAAAGATGACGGTAAACTGTTCTTAAGAAAACTGCCAGAAAACTTATCGAAAAGTTATATGCAAAATTTCATAACAATAGGACTGTTAACGATGGAGATATTTCATTGTGAAAATGTACTGAATACCCCACAACAAAAAAACGTAGGCCTTAAATACACGCAAATTTAATATTCACTTAAGTTAATAAATATTAATAAGAAGGTACGGGACATTAATAAGAGTCCGAAACCCACATTAAAATAAATTTTCGGCTTTAGTAAAAACTAAGTCTGAAATATGCGAAGTCATGTTTCATGTCACATTAAGTTGCAAATTTATTAATCAATATATCTTCATAGGTTGTAGGAGAATTAATTACCACTGCACACAAAATTAACTTATTAACAGCTTTAAAAAATCAACAATAAATTAAGACTGCTAAATGAACGAAAATGTCTTTATTATATGATGCATAAAAAATATTTTTATAACTCTACTATTAGGTGGAATATGTTTTCTACTGAATAACTTCACAAGCCAAAAGATTAATTTAGATATTTTGTGGTGTCAAACAAGCTTGCATTTTTTGTAAAAATCATCTATAAATTATCACTGTTTTTTTTTGAGTTCTGTAGTCCATGACAACACTGTTTACAATTTAGGTAGCTGTTTGCTTGCATTTTAATATGAATTATGTGACTTTTTTTATTTGAGTTATGAATGATAATTTCTTCCAGTAAAATCGTATTTCTTAAATCATTATAAATCATTAGTTAACGATTAAACAGTATACTAACAGAATTATTATATCATAGTTGCTATGCTTGAGCAATTGTGCAGATTATAGATCAAAATGCTTAAAATGTCAAGTTGTATCATACTTTTGCACATTCACAACACATATCTGATCTTAAATGGTTGCAAACACAAATTTACTCTATTCTCTAAAGATTGATCTTTGAGATTTTTAAAACTTTGACATTTCTAATTGGTTAATTTTAGCATTTTTGAACCGATTTTTAAGAATTTGTTATATTTATTTTTAACACTGTTTCTGAAACGTCAAGATCAAATTAGTTCCATCACACTATCATTGTTAAAAAATGCGCTATAATATAATAAAAAAAAAACATACCTAAATCAACATCAGCACAAACATTTTTTTGTGTTTTGTTTTTGTCAAAAAAAAAACACTTTTTTACCTTATTTCTGTAACTATCGAACTGTTGATATTAAAACCATGTTTTTTATTTCAGCAAATTTGTTGGAAGAATACCCAATCGAGTCAGGCCAAATTACCCAATACGCATCGACGTTCCGATGTCCCAACGAAGGCTATCATGCAGATCCCCAAAACTGCCGTATATTCTACAGATGCGTGGGCTCAGGCAATAATTTAACACCAGTCCAGTTCGAATGTAGTGAAGGAACAGTGTTCGATCCTGCGATAAGCAGTTGCAATTACCCATATGCAAGCAATCGCGAAGAATGTGGCGGGAATGGTGTCGATGGTGAATATGGCAATGTTCAGAGTTCTTCGCCTTCAACTTGGACAACTACGAGCAGTTCATCTACTTGGGGACCACCCACAACTCAGTCATCCGCTACAACCGTTTCTAGTCAAGTCGGTGACAAATGTACTCAAGAAGGTTTCCTAGGCGATAGCAAAAACTGTAGAAAATTCTACCGCTGCGTAAATAATGGACAAAATGGTTTTATACAACACGAATTTTCTTGTGGTTCTGGAACAGTTTGGGATCCAGCGGCTGTTTCTTGTAATTATCCGTGGGCAGCACAAAGAACTGGTTGTTCTATTGAAGAAAGTAAGGATCAGGGTTCAGCACTGCCTCCACAAAACGACTTTGCTGCACAAAATATTAATCAGTCTAGTAGTAGTCAAAATGCTTCGTCGTCTTCCACAAATAGCAGTAGTAGTAGTAGTAGCAGTAGTAGCAGTAGTTCATGGACTCAATCTAGTTCCTCCTCGTCATCTTCTTCATCTACTACATCATCTACTAGTTCATGGCAAAATCAACAAAACGCTGCCTCCTCAGGTCAACAACAAAGCGGTTCATCTAACCAACAGAGCAGCAGTTCAAATCAGCAAGGAAGTAGCTCTTCCAATCAACAAGGAAGCAGTTCATCGAGCAGCGGTTCTAACCAACAGCAAAGTGGATCTTCCAACCAACAAGGAAGCAGTTCCTCGAATCAACAAAATCAAAGTAGTAGCTCTAATCAACAAGGAAGTAGTTCCTCAAATCAACAAAGTGGTTCTTCATCATCTGGCAGCTCTAATCAACAAAGTGGCAGTTCATCTAATCAACAAAACCAGCAAGGAAGTAGCTCTTCAAGCAACAACTCCAATCAGCAAGGAAGTGGCTCCTCCAGCAGTAGTTCAAATCAGCAAGGCAGTAGCTCTTCTAATCAACAGAATCAACAAGGCAGCAACACTTCAAATCAGCAAAGCAGTTCTTCGAGTGGTACTTCTACACAACAGGGTAGTAGCTCCTCGAATCAGCAAGGAAGCAGCTCATCGAATCAACAAAGTGGAAGTTCTTCAAATCAACAGAGTGGTAGTAGTTCATCCGGTCAACAAAATCAACAAGGAAGTAGTTCTTCCAGTCAACAAAATCAGCAAAGTGGAAGTAGTTCTTCTAATCAACAAAATCAACAAAGTGGAAGTAGTTCTTCTAATCAACAAAACCAACAGGGAAGTAGTTCTTCTAATCAGCAAAATCAACAAAGTGGAAGTAACTCTTCTAATCAACAAAATCAACAAAGTGGTAGTAGTTCATCTAATCAACAAAATCAACAAAGCGGAAGCGGTTCTTCTGGTCAACAAAATCAACAAAGTGGAAGCAGTTCCTCCAACCAGCAAAATCAACAAACTGGAAGCAGTTCCTCCAACCAGCAAAATCAACAAAGTGGAAGCAGTTCTTCCGGTCAACAAAATCAACAAAGTGGAAGTAGTTCTTCTAATCAACAAAATCAACAAAGTGGAAGTAGTTCTTCTAATCAACAAAATCAACAAACTGGGAGTAGTTCATCTAATCAGCAAAATCAACAAAGCGGAACCAGTTCTGGTCAACAAAATCAACAAAGTGGAAGTAGTTCCTCCAACCAACAAAATCAGCAAAGTGGAAGCAGTTCCTCCAACCAGCAAAATCAACAAAGTGGAAGCAGTTCCTCTAACCAGCAAAATCAACAAAGTGGGAGCAGTTCTTCTGGTCAACAAAATCAACAGAGTGGAAGCAGTTCCTCCAACCAGCAAAATCAACAAAGTGGAAGCAGTTCATCGAATCAACAGAATCAACAGAATCAACAGGGCAGTGGTTCATCTAATCAACAAAATCAACAAGGTGGAAGTAGTTCATCAACTCAACAGAATCAACAAGGATCGAACCAGCAACAAGGATCCAATCAGCAAGGAAGTAACCAGCAAAGTTCCAATCAACAAGGAGGAAATCAATCAACCGGCTCTGCTTGTAGTTCTGAAGGTTTTATTCCTGATGATAATAACTGTACTAAATTCTACAGATGCGTAAATAATGGACAGAACGGTTACACAAAATACGAATTTACGTGTAGTTCTGGACTTGTATGGGATCAAAATGCTTTGTCTTGCAATTATCCAGGGTCAGTAAGTGGAAAATGTTATTCAAATACTCCCCAACCTGGACCATCTGGTGAAAATCAATCTGGACAACAAACTGGTAACAACAATCAAGGAAATAATCAGCAAAATAATAACAATCAGCAAGGCTCGAATCAACAAGGTTCAAATCAGCAAGGCTCGAATCAGCAAGGCTCGAATCAGCAAGGCTCGAATCAACAAGGTTCAAATCAGCAAGGCTCGAATCAACAAGGCTCGAATCAGCAAGGTTCAAATCAGCAAGGCTCGAATCAGCAAGGCTCGAATCAGCAAGGCTCGAATCAACAAGGTTCAAATCAGCAAGGCTCGAATCAACAAGGCTCGAATCAGCAAGGTTCAAATCAGCAAGGCTCGAATCAACAAGGCTCGAATCAACAAGGCTCGAATCAACAAGGCTCGAATCAGCAAGGCTCGAATCAGCAAGGCTCGAATCAGCAAGGCTCGAACCAGCAAGGCTCGAATCAGCAAGGCTCGAATCAGCAAGGCTCGAATCAGCAGGGTTCGAATCAGCAAGGCTCGAATCAGCAAGGCTCGAATCAACAAGGATCTAATCAGCAAGGCTCTAATCAACAAAGCAATAATCAGCAAGGCAATAATAATCAACAAAACCAACAAAATTCGACTCAACAAAATCAGCAGGGCCAAATAGTCAACAACCAGTGTGTATCTGAAGGTTATGTGAAAGATGATAATGACTGTCGAAAATTCTATAGATGTGTCAGCGATGGCAAAAATGGTCACACAAAATATGAATTTAATTGCGCGGAAGGAACTGTTTGGGATGAAAATAGTTTCTCCTGTAATTACCCTTGGGCGGTTAAAGGTAAATGCGCGACGGCTGGTCCTGAACAAAATCAACAACAAGGGACAAACCAAAATAATAATCAACAAGGATCTAACCAAATTAATAACCAACAAGGTTCTGATCAAAATAATCAACAAGGTACTAATCAAAACAATAATCAGCAAGGTACAAATCAAAATAATAATCAACAAAGTTCTAATCAAAACAATAATCAGCAAGGTACAAATCAAAATAATAATCAGCAAGGTTCTAATCAAAATAATAATCAACAAGGTTCAAATCAAAACAATAATAATCAACAGGGTTCTAACCAGAGCAATAATCAGCAAGGAAACAATCAAAATAATAATAATCAACAAGGGTCTAATCAAAACAATAACCAACAAGGAAGTAACAACAATCAACAAAATCAACAAGGTCAACTTAGCGGATCTGCTTGTACTAGTGAAGGTTTTGTTGGTGACGACAACGATTGCTCTAAATTCTACAGATGTGTGAATAATGGACAAGGAGGTCTCCAGAAATATGAATATAACTGTGGTCCAGGTACCGTTTGGGATCAACAAAGTTTTTCATGTAATCATGCGTGGGCAGTCAGCGGAAAATGTGGTTCGCCACAATCTCCAGGGAACAATCAACAGGGACCACAGCAGCCTGGAAATAACCAACAAGGACCTAATCAACCCGGAAATAATCAGCAAGGCCCAAATCAACCAGGAAACAATCAACAAGGTCCTAATCAACCCGGAAACAATCAACAAGGTCCTTACCAACCTGGAAATAACCAACAAGGGCCTAATCAACCCGGAAATAATCAGCAAGGCCCAAATCAACCAGGAAACAATCAACAAGGTCCTAATCAACCCGGTAACAATCAACAAGGTCCTTACCAGCCTGGAAATAACCAACAAGGACCTAATCAACCCGGAAATAATCAGCAAGGTCCACATCAACCTGGAAACAATCAACAAGGTCCTTACCAGCCTGGAAATAACCAACAAGGACCTAATCAACCCGGAAATAATCAGCAAGGTCCACATCAACCAGGAAACAATCAACAAGGTCCTAATCAACCTGGAAACAATCAGCAAGGTCCCAATCAACCAGGAAATAATCAACAAGGGCCCGCTCAACCTGGAAATAATCAACAGGGTCCCAACCAACCACAAAATCCTAGTCAGGCTGGTCAATTGAATGGACCCAACTGCGCTTCAGAAGGATTTGTCGGTGATGAACAAGATTGTTCTAAATTTTACAGATGTGTGAACAACGGACAAGGTAATTTACAGAAATACGAATATACATGTGGACCCGGAACAGTTTGGGATCAATCAAGTCTATCCTGTAATCACGCTTGGGCAGTCACTGGTAAATGTGCAAATGCCAATCCACCTCCAAATCAACCAGGAAATAACCAGCAAGGTCCAAATCAATCTGGACAAGGACCCACTCAGCCTGGAAACAACCAACAAGGACCGACTCAACCAGGCAACAACCAACAAGGACCAAATCAACCAGGAAATAATCAAGGTCCAAATCAACCCGGAAATAATCAACAAGGCCCCAATCAACCTGGTAACAACCAGCAAGGACCATATCCATCAGGTCCTAATCAACCGGGAAATAATCAACAAGGTCCCACTCAGCCTGGAAATAACCAACAAGGGCCCTATCAACCAGGAAATAATCAACAAGGTCCCAATCAACCTGGACAAGGACCTACTCAACCCGGAAACAACCAACAAGGTCCATATCAACCAGGAAATAATCAACAAGGACCAAATCAACCAGGTAACAATCAACAAGGACCGAATCAGCCAGGAAACAATCAACAAGGACCACATCAACCAGGAAACAACCAGCAAAATCCAAATCAACCCGGAAATAATCAGCAAGGACCCAGTCAATCCCAAAATCCGAATCAGTCTGGCCAATTAAGCGGGCAAAGTTGCGTTTCAGAAGGATTTGTCGGTGACGACCAAGACTGTTCAAAATTCTACAGATGCGTAAATACTGGAGACGGTAATTTGCAGAAATACCAATATACATGTGGACCGGGAACGGTATGGGACCAATCAAGTTTGTCTTGTAATCACGCTTGGGCAGTCAGTGGCAAATGTGCCAACGCGAATCAACCACATCAACCAGGAAATAATCAACAAGGGTCAAATCAACCAGGAAATAACCAACCAGGCCCCAATCAGCCAGGAAATAATCAACAAGGACCATATCAGCCAGGCAATAATCAAGGTCCTAATCAACCCGGAAATAATCAGCAAGGACCCAACCAACCTGGAAATAATCAAGGACCCAACCAACCTGGAAATAATCAAGGGCCCAACCAACCTGGAAATAATCAAGGTCCTAGTCAGCCCGGAAATAACCAACAAGGACCATATCAACCAGGAAATAATCAAGGTTCTAATCAGCCCGGAAATAATCAGCAAGGGCCCAATCAACCTGGAAATAATCAACAAGGGCCAAATCAACCTGGAAATAATCAACAAGGGCCACATCAACCTGGAAATAACCAACAGGGACCATATCAACCTGGAAATAATCAGCAAGGGCCGCACCAACCAGGAAATAACCAACAAGGACCACATCAGCCAGGGAATAATCAAGGTCCTAATCAGCCCGGAAATAATCAGCAAGGGCCCAACCAACCTGGAAATAATCAAGGTCCCAGTCAGCCCGAAAATAACCAACAAGGGCCAAACCAACCAGGAAATAATCAGCAGGGACCAAATCAACCTGGAAATAATCAACAAGGACCTCATCAACCAGGAAATAATCAAGGCCCTAGCCACCCCGGAAATAACCAACAAGGACCAAATCAACAAGGCCCCAATCAGCCGGGAAATAACCAACAAGGACCATACCAACCAGGAAACAATCAAGGTCCTACTCAACCCGGAAATAATCAACAGGGACCAAATCAACCAGGAAATAACCAGCAAAGCCCAAATCAACCAGGAAACAATCAACAAGGTCCTAGTCAGCCCGGAAATAACCAACAAGGGCCAAACAAACCAGGAAATAATCAAGGTCCTAATCAATCTGGAAATAATCAACAAGGACCAAATCAACCAGGAAATAACCAACAAGGACCTCATCAACCAGGAAATAATCAAAGTCCTAGTCACCCCGGAAATAATCAACAAGGACCTAATCAACCACAAAATCCGAATCAAACTGGACAATTAAGTGGACAGAATTGCGTTTCAGAAGGATTTGTCGGTGACGAACAAGACTGTTCGAAATTTTATAGATGCGTGAACAATGGACAAGGTAACCTGCAAAAATACGAATACAGTTGTGGACCTGGAACTGTATGGGATCAATCAAGTTTGTCTTGTAATCACGCTTGGGCAGTCAGTGGCAAATGTGCAAATGCGAATCAACCACATCAACCAGAGAATAATCAACAAGGGCCCAATCAACCTGGAAACAACCAACAAGGGCCACATCAACCTGGAAATAATCAACAAGGACCAAATCAACCTGGCAATAATCAAGGTCCTAGTCAATCTGGAAATAATCAACAAGGCCCAAATCAACCTGGAAACAATCAAGGTCCTAGTCAACCCGGAAATAATCAAGGTCCTAATCAACCCGGCAATAATCAGCAAGGACCAAATCAACCAGGACATAATCAACAAGGACCCAGTCAACCTGGAAATAATCAACAAGGTTCTAATCAACCTGGGAACAATCAACCTGGCAACAATCAGCAAGGCCCAAACCAACCAGGGAATAACCAACAAGGTCCCAACCAACCGGGAAATAACCAACAAGGCCCCAATCAACCTGGAGATAACCAGCAAGGACCAAGTCAACCAGGAAATAATCAACAAGGTCCAAATCAACCAGACCACAATCAACCTGGAAATAACCAACAAGGCCCCAATCAACCTGGAAATAACCAACCCGGAAACAATCAAGGACCCCATCAGCCTGGAAATAATCAACAAGGACCACAGCAACCAGGAGACAACCAACAGGGGCCAAACCAACAACCTAATCAACCTCAAAATCCCAGTCAATCTGGACAATTAAGTGGACAAAACTGCGTTTCAGAAGGATTCGTCGGTGATGAACATGACTGCTCCAAGTTTTATAGATGCGTAAATACTGGGCAAGGCAATTTACAGAAGTATCAATATACATGTGGACCGGGAACGGTGTGGGATCAATCAAGTTTATCTTGTAATCATGCTTGGGCAGTCAGTGGCAAATGTGCAAACGCAAATCAACCACAACAACCAGGAAACAATCAGCAAGAGCCAAATCAACCTGGAAACAACCAACAAGGACCAAATCAACCAGGAAATAACCAACAAGGACCACATCAACCAGGCAATAACCAAGGTCCTAATCAACCAGGAAATAATAATCAGCAAGGGCCGCATCAACCAGGAAATAACCAACAAGGGCCATATCAGCCAGGCAATAATCAGGGTTCTAATCAGCCCGGAAATAATCAGCAAGGACCCAACCAACCTGGAAATAACCAACCAGGTCCTAATCAGCCAGGAAATAATCAACAAGGGCCACATCAACCAGGAAATAACCAACAGGGACCATATCAACCTGGAAATAATCAGCAAGGGCCGCACCAACCAGGAAATAACCAACAAGGACCACATCAGCCAGGCAATAATCAAGGTCCTAATCAGCCCGGAAATAATCAGCAAGGGCCCAACCAACCTGGAAATAATCAAGGTCCTAGTCAGCCCGGAAATAACCAACAAGGGCCAAACCAACCAGGAAATAATCAACAAGGGCCAAATCAACCAGGAAATAACCAACAAGGACCACATCAGCCAGGCAATAATCAAGGTCCTAATCAGCCCGGAAATAATCAGCAAGGGCCCAACCAACCTGGAAATAATCAAGGTCCTAGTCAGCCCGGAAATAACCAACAAGGGCCAAACCAACCAGGAAATAATCAACAAGGGCCAAATCAACCAGGAAATAACCAACAAGGACCATATCAGCCAGGCAATAATCAAGGACCTAATCAGCCCGGAAATAATCAGCAAGGGCCCAACCAACCTGGAAATAATCAACAAGGGCCAAATCAACCTGGAAACAACCAACAAGGACCATATCAACCAGGAAATAATCAAGGCCCTAATCAGCCCGGAAATAATCAACAAGGACCATATCAACCAGGGAATAATCAAGGTCCTAATCAACCAGGAAATAACCAACAAGGACCATATCAACCAGGGAATAATCAAGGTCCTAATCAACCCGGAAATAACCAGCAAGGACCAAACCAACAAGGACCATATCAGCCAGGAAATAATCAAGGTCCTAATCAACCTGGAAATAATCAACACGGGCCAAATCAACCGGGAAATAACCAACAAGGGCCATATCAACCAGGAAATAATCAAGGTCCCAATCAGCCCGGAAATAATCAACATGGACCAAACCAACCTGGAAATAACCAACAAGGCCCCAATCAACCTGGAAATAACCAACAAGGGCCACATCAACCAGGAAATAATCAACATGGACCAAATCAACCTGGGAACAATCAAGGTCCTAGTCAACCCGGAAATAACCAACAAGGGCCAAATCAACCTGGAAACAATCAAGGTCCTAGTCAACCCGGAAATAATCAAGGTCCTAGTCAACCCGGCAATAATCAGCAAGGACCAAATCAACCAGGACATAATCAACAAGGACCCAGTCAACCTGGAAATAATCAACAAGGTTCTAATCAACCTGGGAACAATCAACCTGGCAACAATCAGCAAGGCCCAAACCAACCAGGGAATAACCAACAAGGTCCCAACCAACCGGGAAATAACCAACAAGGCCCCAATCAACCTGGAAATAACCAGCAAGGACCCAGTCAACCTGGAAATAATCAACAAGGTTCTAATCAACCTCAGGTAAATCTTCACATTTTTATGCAAAATTAGAAAGAACTACTCCAACCTATAAATTTTCAGGGACCTAATTCCCCCACTGATTCTTCTACACAGTCCCCGGTATCATCAACAACAATATCAAGTTCAGTAGGAGACACCTGCACGCAGGAAGGTTATTTGGGTGACACGAGAAATTGCAAGAAATTTTATAGATGTGTAAATAACGGAAATGGTGGCTTCACAAGGTATGAATTTGTATGTGGTCCAAATACAGTTTGGGATCCTGACGCAATTACTTGCAATTACCCGCATGCATCAAAGCGAGAAGAATGTCGCAATTATGTAGAACAACCACAAAACACATCATCAACTAATTGCCCAGACGGCACTAACACTACTCCCGGATCAACCACAGAAAGTACGACATCGGGTACAGAAAGTCCCACAACTGATATTAGTGGTAGTACTGGTGGCACAACCAACACAGAGCAGTCCACCCCCAGTAACACAGGAACAGATAATACCACACCAGCTAGTACTATTGGTGAAAGTAGTACCACTAATACTATTCCGGAAAGTACTCCCGGTAGCACCATAACAGACGGTACAACGCCAGGATCTACCGTTACTGATGGAACTACAGGTGGAACTGACAGCACTAGCCAAAGTACTGTAACAGATAACACTACTCCAGGAACAGGTACTGCAACGGACAATACTACTCCTGGAACAGGTACTGCAACAGATAATACTACTCCAGGAACGGGTACTGTAACAGATCATACTACTCCTGGAACTGGTACTGCAACAGATAATACTACTCCAGGAACGGGTACTGTAACAGACAACACTACTCCAGGTACGGGAACTGCACCTGGAGAAGGCACCACTTCTGGTGGTGGTACAGAAAGTACAACAGCGGGAACAGATGGAAGTACAGGAACTGATATATCAACCACTACGTTAGGTACCACAGGAGGAGAAAGTACGACTGATTCATCCCAATCAACTACAGCACCATGTCCCATTGGGCAACTAGAAGGAGATCAAATAGCTTTAGTTTGTCCAACTGGATTCAGACGGCATCCTAAATACTGCAATCTGTTTTACCAGTGTACCAAGAATCCAGACAACCACGACTTCAAAATCCTCGTTCTGAGTTGTCCAGAGGGTACCATTTATGACGATGAAAAAATACAATGTTTGCCTCAAAATGAAACAACAATGTGTAATGGACAAATTGCTCAAAGCTCATTCTACAAAACACTCACAGATAATTCTCTCCCTCCTGTAAGTTTTACTCCAAATTTTAATTACCACGACTATTTTAATCTTGTTTCCAGATTCCAGTCAACACTAGAGAAACTCTTTGCCCCAACATCGGCTTTTACGAGACTGATGGAGCCATTTGCGCGACAACGTTCGTTAAATGTCAACGTAACTATGGCTTCAGTGGTAGAATGGAAGCTTATATGTACCAATGCCCACAAGGGTTCGTTTATTGGCAGATAAGCAAGCAATGCGAACGGCCATCAAGGCTGCAACACTGCAGCGGCTACGACATTCGTGATACCAGATGGGAGATACCAGTAGAGACAATAAATGTCTCATTAAGAAGAAGAAAAAGTGCCAGTTTATTCGATACGATCTTTTAAGTAAATTTTGTTGCCAAGTAGATTATAAGTAGGTAGTACTATCGAGCACTGAACGATCGAAACAATTCTGTACTTGACAGGAAATTTAGTAATTTATTATTTAATCTCTTTCGACTGATAAACTAATACAATTTTCTTTGAACTGCCATGATTAGTTCGAAGTAAAATGTAATTAATTAAATATATGGCATTTCCGAAATTTTCCTCAAATTTCGAAAATGCTGTTGATGCGGGATGGTTCTGGGATTATTTATTTCAATTTATTTATTTATTCTAATGCTGTAAACTGTCTCGGAAAACAATTACCTGCAAAATATTTTAGTGCATAAGCATCGACTACGCATTGCCAGTGTATACAGTATGTAATAATTCGCAATAAATCTTAATATAACACGCTTTTCAATTTTCAATCACCGTCGAAAATTTCAATACTAAAAAATAAGTATAACACATTTTCACGCTTCATTAAAACTGTGATTCATATGTTGTACACACAACCAGCATAAGCAGTTTTATTTTGAATTCGTTTCTGATTGTTTTGTTTCATAATAAAAACATGCAAGTGTTGCAGATTAAACTGTGTTTACAAACAAAACTTCAGCTACGTTATCACCATGTCTAATTTGTGACAATAGTACGAATCAGCTAAGTCAGTTAGTTGTATGACTTAATTGTGTCAATGTGAAATGTCACTTTATGGTAAGTTTTAAGTAAGTGAGTGAAAAAAATTGCTTTTTTCGTGTTTTCGTCTCGAAATGTGAGAAATTTTGCAGAACTGGACAATAAAAATTGTCTTTAAAATAGTTATTTGTGTGATAAGGCCATAAAAAGAACTTTTTCGACCGATCCAAAGTACCCAAACTGTAACCGAGGCCTACAAATTAGAATTTTCTTTGCTGAGGTACACATAACGTTTTTTAGGCGACCATACAGAAAAATAATTGATTATGTAAATAGTTTTACGGTTAGAAATTCTTTTTTCGTTGTTGGTGAAAAAACCCTGGAGATTCGATAAAAACCAAAAAGACTATCAATAAGTAGAACATTTATTCGGACTCTTTTGAGGGCTGCACATTATTCTAATTAAAGATCTCCCGGGGAAAAAAGTGGAAACCACTAAACTTACAATTTCGCCTTGTTAACAACAAAATGTTTCTTATACATGGTTTTACAAGAATTAGAAGACATTGTTGAAATACTGCATTTCTGCATCCGCCAAAAACACTCATGTCATTTTGATGTAACTAGTTTATGCATTATTGTCGCTTGAATGTTTGAAATTTAAAAGATTTGTCATATTGTATCCAGTATCAGAATACCCGCAGTATAAAAAATGACACACTTAAAAAAATAAGATTACAATACTTAAAGGTGTTTCATCACACTTTGTAACAATAGATGACATTGACGTTCAAGATTTTCTGGTCGCGACTGTATTGTGATAAAAATCAAGGCAGACTCATAAACTACAAATATTACTACGCTTTCGTTGCTACACTTACCATTACTTTTATTCAATTTTGTCTCTCCTCCTATTTTTCTTAACATACTCATTTAGCACGCCTCGAGTCTCTTTTTCTGATCTTCAGTAAGGACCCACGATTCATGGTGATGAGTGATTACTGAGGAGCATAGACACTAGAACTCTCAATCACTTTGCTCGGAGCTACTGTAGTTGGTTGGTACCCTGTATGTTTTCACCTTGTACTTCGAGTTCACATTTTTTTGCTTCATTGTTATTGTTAAAATTTCTATCTAAATTGATATTCCATCATTAATTTTTTCCATGTTTCGATTCGTTGTTGTAGTCCCTTTATGTTGTTTCCAAAGAATAGCAGAAGATCGGCGTATAAAAGATCATTTACGTATATAGGCTGTAATTTTCTGTATCCTATATGTTGTTCCTTTATGTGGCAGTTTATGTTTTTGGCGATTTCACTGATTCCTCTCTTGTAAATTGTGCTTCATTTTTTCCCTTTGTGAATGCTTTTTCCGTATCTATTGTACATATCTTATTTTTCTATTGGTCGGCAAACCTTTCTCGGCAATTTGCGTCACATCGAGATCCCTCTGAGCTTTATTGCTATTATTCTTTCATGTACCTTGTACGTTTCCGTCTGTCTGTCTATATGTTTGTCTATCTGTCTGTCTGCCGTCTGTCCAGATTGTTATTGGACAGATAATCTCCGAAACTACCCCACCGACTACTGTCAAATTTTATGTGTATGTTAGGAATATCGTCCAAAAAGAAACGAAATTGTCCAGCATCTTTTTCTACTAGTATGAGCGGTGCTCCTGCAAGATCACGTTAGCTTATGTATCGCCTACAGTATTTCCTTTGGAACCCCTGTGCGGACCGCACCCGCTTGGAATTTGCGTCTCTGTGGTACCCTGGAACAAGGGAAGTGCTGTCGAAATAACCTTCGACCAACTTTTACTTCCTGAGCGTACGCTTAGAAAGTGAATGCTGCGGAAACTAGCAGTTCTAAGGTTATCGTAAGCATGATAAATCGCTAATAAAAATTACGTACTTCTGCATGTGTGATTTATGAATCCGTGTTGAGTTTTTACACCTGGCCTCCGGATTTTTGGGAAAAAATGAAGATTGTATAACAATATTTTACAATTTAATTAATTGCAAAAACCGAATGCTATGAAATCGTACAAACATTTTGAAGTTAACACAACAGTGATAAACAGTTTTTTAAAATTTGTTCGTCATTTTATAATTTTACCGAATTCTTCAAATTTATGAGTGTTTTTAGGAAAAAAAACTGAGTGTGGTTGATTAATCAGTCCTCTCCTCGGGTTGGAGAGAGAAAATCAATCAAATTTCATTTTCTTTTAACCGCTGATGCTTGTAATCTTAATGTGCTAATAGTTGAATTCTTTCGAAGTATAAACATAAACAGATGAAGTTAAGCATCTGCCAGAAAACTGAAAATATCTACATTTTTTCGGTTGTTTATTTGCTTAAATACAGGGTTAGTCATGAGAGAATTACTTCTGAAAATTATTTTTACGCAACCCAAAATACGAATACCATGTACTATTTGATACTAACTAAATTTAAAATAAAATGCTTAATCTATGATTGCTTGAGTTTGGCAATCACATTTTGACAATTGTGGAAAAAGAGGTTACGCGAGTGTCCATGGTGGTACCACAGCCAGTCGGAAATCTCCTCAGGCGCCGCTAATAAATTTGTCAGTGTGCCTCTTAATCTTTTGCAACCGATTAATCACGAGAAAATTATTTCTAAAAATTCTTTTTACGGAATTTTATTCAAAGGTTACAACACAAACTCAAACAAGTAAGTAAATAATTTAACTACTAATCTGTTGAGAATGTTGGGCATTTTGGGGGGATGCTACGGCTTTTTTGTAAATGGATGGCCGAAGAAGTCCAGAGGTTGCAGATTTGCACTTCGAAGAGGCTCTAGGTGACGCAGAGATGGCGAATTAACACATGCACATTAGCGGCGAACAACATTGGTAGAGCACTTACGGCTTCAGTATAGCCCAGATTGATCTAACTGTATGTCGTCGATCGAATGGGGCTCTAGAGGCGAGTCAACGATGAAAAAAAATGTTAAAAATTAATTAACGTCAAAGTGACACTGCCAAAGTCAAAGCAATCATGGATTAGGCATTTCATTTTAAATTTAGATAATATCAAGTGGTACAGGGTATTAGTAGTATGGGTTGCGTAAAAATAATTTTCAGAAGTAATTCTCTCGTGACTAACCCTGTATATTTCATATGGTCCATACATCGGCGGACCGCGCCCCCTTGGAGTTTGCGTTCCCGCGGCTCTGGGGCTCCGGGGGTGTTAACTACGACACTGATTTGTCTGACTATATTTCAAGGACGAGAAAAGTTGTATCGAAATAACCTTTACAATTACTAAAATTTATTTATTCATCTTCTCTAGAAAATTTATTAAATAAACGTGTTTCTAAATGTAAATAAGATTGCGCTTTAGTTTTGTTTATTAGAACTCTTTATTAGATTGTCACAGAAAAAGTAATATTTGCAGAATAACCTTTCATAATGTGTCTATGAAACTGGATTTGATTGATTATACTTTAGGGAAGTTCTGTCTAAATAACTTTGAACCAATTTTTTTCTTTAATATTTTGCAAAATTCCAAAAGTCGTTCTACACAATCAGAACAAATTGACCTCTCAAGTGTAAAGTCGTTAAAAATGCTAATAAAATTCGGTTGATGTATGAAAAGCTAAACCTTAAATCCATCAGGAACTTTTAAAAACTATTTTCTCACTGAAATAGAACTTTAATAAAATGATTTAATGAACTGGTAAAAGATGTAACTTTACTTTCAATAATAATAAAAATATATTTATTATAATACTGTTTTCAAGGTCCCAGAAAAAAAATAGTAATCTAATTATTCTCCAAAAGAAGAATATAACAACCACTATTACAAAACTAAAGGAAGAACGTCGACAAATATCGTTATTTTGTAACAGAGAACCAAACAAAAATACAGTAGTATAAAAATAAATGTAAATGGCAGAAAGATAAAATAAAATATCTAAACAACGATCAACAAGTAGGCTCGAGAAATCTGGAAATGCTCATAAGTGTTTTATTATTATTGTTACAACATAAATACAGATTGAGACTATGTCTACAAATCTCCAGGATTAACAAATAAATATTCGCGAGTTTATGTCACTATATTTAATTTCCACAAGATTGCCTCAATAACACAGGGGAACAAAAAAAATCAAATTTTATGCGGTATTGGCTTTGATTGTACTTTCAGTTACTGCTATTGTTGTAGTAATCTGTTGTGTGATCAGAACATTTGAAATGACTCTAGTTCGCAAGATATAGCTCTTCACGAAAATTCATCCAAACATGGTATTTTCAAACATTTCCCATCAAATCTTTCTGTTTCTTTATTACAGCTTTATCTTAGCGGTCAAAAATTTCTAGGAGAATCATGAAACAATAGAGAATCGCCATTGCGTTGCCAATATCCTAGATAAATATTTGAAAAATTAGGAATTAACATGAGCATTAAAAATTCATTTGTTGCTTAACCATTTGGGCCCATTTCCTAACAGTCTTAGCGATTCCAGCTAATAGCAGTGAAAATGTTGTCACCAGTACGTAAGGGTAGTGGAAGAAAGGTACTAAGGCCAATGGAAGCGCAAATGATGACAGATTACTGTTGAACTTCAAAAACAAATTGTCTTAATTCGAAATATTGTAGAAAATCCTACAAAAACATGTTTTTCCTCTTTTATTTTTATTTTTGATTAATAATAATGTATACCTAACATATATTAGCAGTTTGGTTTGAAAATACCAGTCTTAAAATAAATTTCATATATTTATTACATATCTGAGGTCGTATAATGAAGATCCATTTATCTCAAAAACTAGAGTCAATTCCGCAAATCTAATATTTTTTTCGTATTCAGCAGAGTTTAAATACCCAAAATCGACTCTCAAAGTGGTTACCGCAGATCCACTGTTCCCCGGTGTAATTTATTGATTCTATCCACTAAAATCTCTCGAGTCATATTTGTTAATTAAATGTGACAGATGCTGAAAAACGTTTTCATCGTACGATAAAATTGTTTGAATATGGTTAAAATAACGATCAAATTTTAATTTTTAATCAAAAACTTGTCCCTTTAAATTTTTGACATATACCCTCCCTCGAAGATAAAACAACCATCAGGAACAGTATTATATTGCTTGATTATTACTTATTAATAAAGGCCACTTACTGTTCACCTGTTTTTTAACTCCCGACATAAAAAAAGGATGTCGCAACTTTGAAGGCTTTGTCTTTGTATGATATCGTAGCTCCCAAACGAACAAACGGATTTCAGTGCTGCTTTTTGTTTGAAATCTAGTTTAATCTTGATGGTTCTTAGCTATGTTTGATGATAATCACTTCAGCCATTTCAAGATCATCAGCTCGTAATACAGTTAGTGGTCAGCACGTCGACCGTCGCGGCGAATCTTAACCAATTTCACACTTCTTGAGGGGTCATTGTTTTTGTGTTAAATATTAACACTTGACATTTACTGTTCTAAGTAAGGAAATGTTGAATTTGAAATCTTATAGACGTATAAATTTTTCAAAAATCGCAATATCGTATTATATAGATGTTCTAAATGACAAAACTGTCAAAACAAACACAAGGCAACTTGACTTAAATTGCAACAACTGTACTAACTAAAAATTATAAGAACTCAGAATTTTGAACGGAAAGTAGTTAGTATTTTCCGGACTTTCTTTTCACCTTACCTTTCTTGAACTATGCAGTTGTACTGTAGTACTTTGGGTAACATTTTAATACTAAAGTGATAAGATTAAAAAAGATTTGCAGAAAAATATAGGACACTCTTTTTGCATGCAACCACTTTTAGCTCTAACACAATGATTTGTCTATCGTAGCACCAACCAAGCTTATAAATTAAAAATAGCAAATATTTTAACGTTTCTTTTACGTTGCGTTTACCGCACGTAAGTTTTTATACAAAAAATGATAAACATAAAAGCAAATCTTCAATTATAATTACAACTACAAGTGCTGCTGCTTTGTCTTGTATACTTTTAGCGCAAGTTGATTTTATTACTAAATCATTTGCATTTTTCGAGATACCTTGTTCAATAAAGTTCGGTTGTACAATGTCAGTGTCAATGATTTAGAGCGTCATCATTACATAAATTTATATTTTTTACATGCTTTATTGTAACTCGGTATTATGAAGGACGTTTTATCCTACATTATAATCATTTATTGTTGCAGAATGAATAGTTTATAATGCCAAAACCACGGACCGAAGAGCAATTTCCATTGCTTTTGGTTTTAGTGGGTGAGCAAGATGTTTCACAAAATAACAAAAGACTTTTCGGAAGAGGAAGATTCGATGGCATCACTTCTGGAGCTACTGCTATTATCACCGAATGGCCAAGTAAGTGTTTAATATTATTCAAAGATCAGTGCACTATAAAAGCATTAGGTACATAGCTCATGTTACGTGGCTAACTTACGTTTGAGTGTTAGCCATGTGTGCATTTTTATTCAATTGATTATGGGAAATTTAAAGTCGAAAAACAAAAAAGGAAGTAAGTATTGCCTGAATGGCCGTCATTTCTCCGTCAGTGGTGGGCCTAAATAATAATAGTAGTTTACTGCTTTACTATCTATACTATCTAATAAAACCCAACAAAGCCTGCCATAATTATAACACAAGAAAGTTCAAATAAAAATCCCTTGCAGTTAATAGTAAAATATTCGCTCAATTAATTTATCCTTATTATTATTTTAATTTTAATATAACATAATAATGAAGACAACATTTGTTTAATAAAACATGTTGCTATTTTAAGGCTTGTTAATTGCATATCCCACTGCTAAGGAGTTTTTGTTTGAACAAAAGTTACTATCTACGTAAATTAATTAACAAAAATATTATAAATATTTATACCAACAAAATTAATAATTTTAAATTAATTACAAGTGTTTTCCAGAAATGGAACGAACATTTTTATTGTGGAATTAGGTCACTTGCTAGTGATAAAGAATAATCGATTACCAAATTTACATAATTTAAAATAACTGTGTCAAGGGAGTACCTTTTTAAAATCCCTTAAAACGAATTCCTACCCTACAAACACGAATATCTTCTACCTTACTTAGATAAAATCCTGGTTTGTTTAAATAAAATACGATTTTTCATAATTTTTATTCTATAAGTTAAATGTATCACAACAAAAAATATAGAATTACTGGTAACATATATGGTATTTAATCTAATCAATATAGTGAACAATTTTTCTGCTGTCATCAAGAAAATCTAACGCACTCTCATCAACATTTTTATCTTTCTTAAAACAAATAACAAGTTTAGTCAAATTAACAATTTTCCTCAAGGCGTTAACATGAATGTACTCAATAGGATTGTCGTCCAAATACAAAGCTTGTATGTGTTCTAATCCTCTAAACGTCGTTTCGTTTATCCTGCTTAAGTTATTCTCATTTAACAGTAGTTGCTGCAGATTTTTCAGTCCATTAAACGCACCGTCTTCAATATAATCGATCTTGTTTTTAATCAAGCTCAAAATTTTCAAATTTGGAACACCTTCGAAGGTATTCGATGAAATATTTGTAATCAAGGTATTCGTTATGGCCAAATTGTCTAATTCCGTGAGATTGGCGAATGCACCTGGTTGAATGAAGGTGATATTTTCTCCTAAAAACCATAACTCTTTGCGGGATTTCAATTTTGCAAAGGCATCCTTAGGGATTTCCCCATACGAAACATCGACGTACAAGTAATCGGGATTCTTTTGTTTTTTAAACTTCAATGGATCGTCTTCTTCCAAGGTTTCAACACTGCAGACAGTTCGATTGGGCATTCCCGGTTCAACGGTTACTTTACATTTTGCATAGATATGTCCGATTTGAATCAACAAGAAAAATATGCAGTATTTCATCTGAAAGCGACTAATTTTAGTACTAACTGGAACATTTGCAATAACTACCTTTACTTTTCTAAATGTGCAGTATGTTGAATGATAAACACAGCGAGCACAGTGAAGAATGTGATGTTACTGAAACGCTTCCTGCAACATTTTTAAAAAATATTTACACAATTGGTAACTAAATAATAATTCTTATTTCATTCTTGTAAATAAATATTTTTAATTGAGTCTGGCCATATTATTATCAAGAATTCGGATAACTTGGTCTTGACCTTTACACGTGATTCTTAAATGTGATTATAAGTGGACCACGTTAACCAAAAACGTACTAAGCGACAAAATTGCAATAATTGAGTAATACTAGAGTAAGCTTTCATTAAAAACTAAAAATTTGTATTAATGTCTGAATAAAATTTTTGCCTTAAGAATACATGACTTTATGAATGTAGTATATTTTGTTAATGGCATCAAAAATACCCAGTCCTTTACAGTTTTAAAGAAGCATTTTGGCGCTTGGTTCTTTTTTGAGAAAACCATGATATTAAATTTATTATTCCGTGAAAAGGCACTAAGTAATTTTTTGAAAAATATTATATATATTTATATTAATTTAACGACCTGCTATAAAAAGGAATAATATATGCCATGAAACAAAAACAAAAATGATTAAGTTAAATTTGTTTCCCTTAATTCGAAATCAATATCATTTGAAAAACCCTCCACATAAAATTCACAGTTTATTCCCCGTAAGTTTTTGTAAAAGAGTTTTGCATCCTCGGGAATAAAAAGAAATTATGTTTTTAGATCTGCCAACTTTTTACGCGATATTGCTTTTCCATTGGGCCATAATGTAGACAATTTTCCAAAATTTTTAAAAGTCTTTTCCTTTTATGCATCAAAACTTCATTGTAGATCTCATTTTCCTGATTACTTTTCATAAAAATAGAAAGCGGTTTATCTTTAGTAAGTTTAATCACTCTTGTTTTCAAGCGTCTAATTTTTTGTTCATGTATGCCTTCTATTTGTGACACTAGACTCTAAATCGGTTTCACTACAAAAATGTTCTTTCTGCATAAACTAAACAATAAGTGGATTGTTCTTTCTAGTATTGGCGTAATCTTGTGGCGTATATACTTAATGACTCCAAAATCTTTGTCATTTGGTAAAAAACTATGTTCCGAAACAAAAATTTCAAATAAATCGTTTGTTAAGTAGAATGTAGTTATAAAATTGATTTTAGCATGAATACAGTTTTTATATTACTATTTTGACGCCCACAAGAGTCAGACCACAGAGGCAGTTCTGTTATATCCTTTTTGGTAACATTTTCAGTAGGTATTAAGTTGTTAAGACAAGATCCCACCTTTTGTGCGCCACGACCTATTTTCTTTTTTTGCAAATAAAATAGTGTCCTTTCCTTCTTTTACCGGAGTAAATACCCTCGTTATAAAGCCAAAATTGACGGTTATAAAACACTAAGTTTGTAGGTTAGTTACAAGGAAACAAAGCACTGCACAACTAATTAAAAAAAGTGCTGTGTCGCTTGGTACCTTTTTGATTAAAACATAATCCCAGATTTATTAAAGGCGCATAGCTCTACCTCAAATTTTGGTATAAAAATAATTAAGACAAATAAAGGATTTTTACAAATTAGTTTTTGACATTAAATTCTGACTGTCACGATGTTTAACTCATTTTTTGCAATTTGGCGCTTAGTACGTTTTTGGTTAACATCGTTCAAGTGTAACTATTCTAAACTCTGTAGTCATATACAACTGGAAATAAAAACGTAGTGCTTCGTAACTTAAGATTTAAGGAACAATTTTTCTTTACTCATTTATTACTGAAGTGGCTCATTTGATCTCAGTGAACTAAAGTAAAAATAGGATGACACCGAAATACCAAAACTTCAAATTTTGAAAAATTATTTAGGTTTAATTTCTAATGAAGATTTTTTAAACAATTCGCCACTGTAAAGCATTGATTTGAAGTATACAAATAAATACAATTTATTTCTGGTTTATAAAAACACTAAGGGCCGGTTGCATAAACGCAAATCAAATTTAATCTCTGATTAAGAACAACTGTAACTATGATAATAACAATCGTTACTATGGAGTTAATCAGAGATTAACTTTGATTTGCGTTTATGCAACCGGCCCTTAGTGTTTTTATAAACCAGAAATAAATTGTATTTATTTGTATACTTCAAATCAATGCTTTACAGTGGCGAATTGTTTAAAAAATCTTTATTAGAAATTAAACCTAAATAATTTTTCAAAATTTGAAGTTTTGGTATTTCGGTGTCATCCTATTTTTACTTTAGTTCACTGAGATCAAATGAGCATTATTGCAGTTAACTAAAGTAGTTCATGGACAATTTAGTAGATTATTATTGTCTTCATTACTCAAAGTTTTGTTTGCCATCTTATTTTTGTCGTTAAGTGAGTTTTCAACATATCCCTCGGTTCCTGCACTTCCAGCGTCCATAGCGTTTCAAGACATCGACAATAGTTCAGGAATCCGCGAACAAAAACGCAGATGTACGTCTGAAAGAGTGTCCGGTATAATATAGCACATCCGTTAAATTTTAAAAAGCTGCAATTTTTTGGGGTAATGTTAAAAGGATATTTTTCCCAATTGACGGAATCGTACAATTCTTGTCTTCGAACTGAACAAAAAATCCTGAGAATTTCTTTCAGTGTTATTTTTAATATTTGCAACTGTAAACATGATTGAAGAACCCAAATCGGTTACGTTATTGGTAAGAAGTTCAAGTAACTCTTTACCTCTACAAGCTCCTGCTATGCCCAAGATTTAGGCAACCCAAAAACATCTATCATACGCATTTCGAATGACGATAACGCGTTTTTCGCAGCCCGTGTTTATTCACAACGTTTTCCTGAAAGAAGAGCCCCTACAGAGACCATATTTAAAAGACTAGAAAGTTTCTTGAGGGAGAACTGGTCGTCTACGAAAAAACCCCGAAGACGAACAGCTAGCGGTGTTGAAAATAAAGTGGCAGTTCTAGAAATGGTTAGCGAAAATCCCCATTGCAGTCAAAAACAATTGCAGCAACTGTTGGCGTTAGTAAAACGTCAGTGCAATGAATAATAAATTTCATCCCTATCACCTGACTTTGGTTCAAGAACTAAAACCCACTGACTACCGAAAAATGTTAGTGCAATGTTATTAGAGAAAAACAGAATTTAGATCCTCGTTTTTATGATTTCGTTTTTTTTTCCTGATGAGGTAAAATTTTCGAACAATGGTGAGGTTAATAAACATAACTGCCACTATTACATCCAAAATCTTGCCTTACTGGATTAGAGAAGGTCACTTTCAGGCAATTTATAACTACTATAAATGTTTGATGTGAAATACTCGGAAACAACATTATTGGTCTTTACTTTTTTCGGGAATATTTAAATGGAAATTTATATCTAAATTTTCTTCGTTAGACGTTACCGGTACTCCTGGAAAACATTAATTTGGAAATCCGTCAAAATTTATGGTTCCACCAAGACATTTTCACAGAATTGTGCGAAATTACCTGCACGAAATTTTTCCTACTAAAGCAGCCCCGTAGCTACGGGGGGGGCAAGATGGGGCTGAGCCCCCCTTAGCAGTTGTGGTTGCCCCCCCTGGAAGACTTACACATTAAAAATTTCAATTTAGTAATAAAATTTCAATATAATGCCGATTGCTGAAGCCACCCACCCGCCCTTTATTTTATATTATTTGGCAATATCACCCTAACGTTAATGTTGACCGTATAAAAAAAGCAACTGTCATGTCACATTTTATTCCATAGCCTACTACTAAACATGCAAAAAAATAAATATTACGAATAAAGAGGTACTTACGTGCTCGTAGAAGCTTTAATGAACTTTAGGAAATACAACGCAAAAATACACAATACAAAAAAACGACATCTCATTACTTTTTTTTACAATTATTCATGTGTTCTTGTTTGTTGTCATGGCAAACCTACAGGGTGGCCCTTTTCTAATATCTAACACTTCCCTTCGACCCGGGGTTGTGCTAGATCTAGCCGCTCCGTGAAGGAACCATGCTTTATACTTGCTAGACCCTTGGTGAAGATGTCACCAATCATATCTTCCGAAGGGACAGGTTGTATAGTTAATGAGTCATTCTTCACCACTTCTCTGATGTAGTAATGTCTAAGGTCGATGTGCTTACTCCTCGCATGCTAGACCGGATATTGAGCCAGTCTCAATGCGCCTTGGTTGTCACTGAATAACACCATTTGTGACAACTGTGCGAACCCTAACTCCAGCAGGAACTTCTGGATGAAAGTGGCTTCCTTGGCTGCTTCTGTTAATGCCATGTATTCAGCCTCTGTAGATGATAATGCCACAGTTTTTTGTTTCCTGGAGTCCCACGGAATTGGTCCCTCTGCTAACATGAAGACAGCATCTGCGTAGCCTCTTACAGGATCTGGGCAGTTTGTATACACAAGACCATAGTTCAGAGTACCCCTCAGATATCGAAGCACTCGCTTCGCTGCTGTCCAATGGACCTTGCCATGACAGTTATTGAACTGTCCCAAGGAACTCACTGCGTGGCTGATGTCAGGCCTAGTCGTGATGGCCAAATATGTCAAGCCACCTATGAATTCGCGATACGGGAAATTCTTCACTTCTTCAGCGGTCGTTGGTTTGACGAGCTTTGTCTGCGGATCCATGGGAGTTGATATCAGGTTGCAATTCTCCATGCCGAAACGTTTGAGGATGTCTAAGATGTAACCTCTTTGGTGCATAGTTATCTTCGACTTCTCAACTTCAAACTCGACTCCCAAACAATAGCCAACATTACCGAGTTTCTTCACTTCGAACTCCTTGCACAATTTTTCTCGAAATTGCTTGATTCTGTTAGAATCTCTTGACATTATCAGTATGGCATCGACGTAAATAACAACTATCGTTGCATCTTCCCCTCGTCCAACACAATATACGCACGGCGTTGGTTGGAATCGCACCAAGTTTTCGCAATAGCTTGTCCAACATCATATGCCAGCTTCTACCGGACTGGCGTAGGCCATACAGGGACTTTAGTAGGTGACAAATTTGCTTGCCATCCCTAAAGTCTTCCAACATTCTTGCGGCTTTCTCGCCGACTACACTTGATCGGCCTCGTTTCTGTATGATAGACTCAAGAATATTAGCTAGATTGGTTGGAGGTCTCATAAAGACCTTCTCTTCGAGGGTACCATTCAGGTAAGCATTCGCTACATCGAGCTGTTCAATCTTCATGTCGTGAATTGCTGCCAAGGATACGAGCAGACGTATAGAGCTCATTCTAGCTGCAGCAAACGTCTCATTAAAATGTACACCTGGCTTCTGGTTAAAACCTTGTGCCACTAATCTGGCTTTTCTTTTATGTAGCATACCATTAGATTTGTATTTATTTCTCAAAATTATGCGACTCCCGATGATCTCTTCTCCACTGGGGTACTGTACCATCTTCCAAGTATCATTTTTAACAATGCTTTCTACTTCTTGGCAGATAGCTTCAAACCATTCGTTCGCATCGGCACCGTTCAACGCTTGATCTAATGGAATTTCGGAAAGAAAACCAAATACTGGTGCTTCGCTTGCCCACGTGGTTTCTTCGGTTCTGAGGTTGTATCGTTTTCGAGGTCTTCCCTTCAAGCCAATTCTTTCGATTCGCGGACGGCCTGGACCACGTCTAGTTGATGCCGCTTCTTCTTGATCGAAATGTTCATTCTCGGAACCCTCTGGTCGCTATCTTGGATTTCTTGTCGATTGTCTTCGTCTCCTTCTTCCAGATCTTGAAGAACGAGATCTTCACAGTCATCATTCAACTTTAAATCTATTTTCTCTATAAATTTTACGACTCGAGCTATGTATACTCTTCTCTCTTCTGGGAACCATACTCTAAATCCCTTGACTTCTTCTGAATATCCGACGAAAACGCCTTCCTTACATCTTGATCGGAACTTATCTGGATTTGGTTTCTTCTGATGGCATAAAACACGACAACCAAAAGTCTTAAAATAGCTAACGTTGGGCTTCTTGCCCGTCCACAACTCAAAAGGAGTCAAGAGGTACGTGCTCGTAGAAGCTTTAATGAACTTTAGGAAACACAACGCAAAAATACAGAATACAAAAAAACAACAGCTCATTACTTTTTTTACAATTATTCATGTGTTCTTGTTTGTTGTCATGACAAACCTACAGGGTCGCCCTTTTCTAATATCTAACAATAAACTCAAACAAATTGGTTGTTACTTGTTACCTAGTGTTTCTGGCCACTGCACGAATTTTTGGATGCAGTACAGCTGTTTGTGAATCTACATTCTCTGTTTTAACCGGAATAAATCGTCCGGCGCGTTCAATGACGCATCAAATATTGGCAAACTTGGTTTTTCTGGCTTTTGAAAAGTACCGTACCAATTCTTTAGACTTCGACAGGTTTTTACGAAAATTTAATAGCGTAAAAAATCGACTTTTACAATTATTTTAATGTTCTTTCAAAATGTAAAAAATGAGAAAAAATAAAGTAGTATTATTAAAATATGTATATATATTTACATGAAGCCCCCTCAGTCGACAAACTTGCCCCCCCTGAATAAGTTTTCTAGCTACGGGGCTGTACTAAAGGTTCTATTAATCCCGCCCCCCCCCCAATACTACAATACTCCAATAAATATCGACCATTTAGAAGACAAAATTACCGAAGCATAAAGAGCCATTACTCCCGAGTGTTAACACATCCTTCTGGAATATGATTTATGCATGTGAGAGAAACGTGGGTCAACATTTCGAACATTATTGCATTAGTAAAAAATAAAACGTGTTTTTATCTTCCAATTTGAAATTTTTGTCAAAACTTTTGACAAGTGTTAGGTTACTATGTTTAACGCTCCAATAATTGTAATTATAATAATATCCAAGGTAGTGGTGAAAATGTATTTTGGGTTGCGTTTCAAATTTATTTAGGCTCTTTATTACTCGTGGACCACCCTGTATATTCTTGTGAAAATGTAACATTTGTGTACCTCAACGAGACATGGGTTTTTCAAAACCGTATACGATTCAGATTTGAAAAATAATCTCAGCAGAATTACAAGTGAAGGTTCAATAACATACAAGCAATAGAGATAATCACAAAACAATGGACGAAACACCTTCTCAAAACTGGGTGATTAATCAACTTATAACTGCTGAACAAGCAACGAGAATGTGTGGTGGTTACGGGCAATGCATCATTCGGTACAGTTGGACAAACAACCCACATTTCTAGCAGAAAAAGTCAAATTAGCTTAGCAAAAGTTTGGCTAATCACAATATTGAATTTGATGACAATTATTCAAAAAAAAAAAAACTCTGGGCATTCAGAAAATTTGTACTTCAGGTTCGATTTGAATCTGAAAAGGAAAGTCAGTTGACGAAAAGTCAATACAATTCTTAAATATTTAACTATACAGGGTGTTTTTGAAATACGTTACCAAAAATTAATGAAGGTCTTTGGCATCCTTAAGGAATCGAATTGAGTAAGTCTCAAACTTTTTTTAATGATGAAAAAAATCACCTCTAACCACCTGCTTAGAACACCACTGATGAAAATATCCACGTAAATTGATTGCATTTAATTTGAATACAAACCTAGCAACGAATTTAAAATTATTTTGAATCAAAATGCATAGTAAGCAAAGGTAAAGTCAGATTTGACAAGTCGAAAATCCTTGGATTTTGAAAAGTAATCTTGCCTTTTAAATTAAGAAGCAAGTAGTGAAACGAAAACGATTTATTTTTTATATAAATTGCTCAAAATGCCGACCATCATTCGCAATGCATGCCCGAGCTCGACGAATTAATGATCCTTGCGCTCTTCTTATCATGTCTGGATTTGCTCTGATAGTAGCCGAAACATCATGAATCCTATTTGTCAATTCTTCAATGGAATTAATAGGTGCCGCATAGACTAATTGCTTCATATGCCCCCATAAAAAATAATCACAAGAATTTAGATCTGGTGACCTAGAAGGCCACCGTACTGGACCGTTTCTTCCGATCCATTTTCTTGGAAATGTTTGATTTAACCATTCCCGCACGTCATGTGTATAGTGGGCAGGGGCTCCATCATGTAAATACCACATATTCCTCCGGGTAGCTAAAGGTACATCCTCTAAAAGATTTTCCAACGTATTATTCAAAAAATTAAGATATGCAGCGCCAGTTAACCGTGGAGGTAAAACATATGGACCTATCAAGTGATGTCCTACCATACCAGCCCACACGTTTACGCTAAATCGTTCTTGAAAGTGCCCCTCATTAATTTCATGAGGGTTTTCATAACACCAAACGTGTGTATTATGGCCTTAAATACCCCGTCTCTCGTAAATGTTGCTTCATCCGTCGACAGCAAGCTTCCAATAAACTGTTGATCTTCATCATTTTTTTGTAATAACCACTCACAGAACGTAATCCGACGAGGTAAATCTGCTTCTTTGAGAGCTTGTACTCGTTGCAAATGATACGGATGGAGTCCTTGTTCTCTTAATGTACGCCAAACGACAAATGGGGAAACACCAACTCTGTAGGACAGCCTTCTGACACTGATACTTGGGTTTTCTTCTACCATATTTAAGATCTCAGGTTCAGCAGCTAATGTCCTTCCAGTTCTCTGTCGGCCACGATCTGTCATTTGGGGACGATACTCACCGTTGTCTCTAAGATGCTGAACGGTAGCGGTAAATGTATGATGATCGGGCACAATTCGTCCAGGAAATGTTTCCCTATAAAGACGTTGTGCTTCACGCGCGTTTCCAAGGGCCCTTCGATACAGTAGGACCATATCAGTTAATGCAGCATTTGTGTAAACCATTTTAATACAACCGACACAAAATTGACAACAGTACCCTGACAAATAAAATTTTTATTGTTGCTAAGCGAACAAGATGGCATTTTGAATTACCTTTAATACAGTGGCGTACTGGAAATTTTGACCGAATATTCGATTAATTTTATCTCGAAAACGAAAAAACTTTTATATAAAGTATTTTTTGTCAATTAGTTCTATTTATTATCACCAATTACCTGCTCTCTTTTGGTAGTGTATTTCAAAAACACCCTGTATGTAGATCCAGCTGAACACATAGTTAACCGCTTACTTGTGCCAATTTTTTCACTATATCCACAGATTAAGGCGTCAAAAACAACTTTTGGAGTCAAAATTTATTAAAAACGTTATGTACCTACATCTTGAAGGTAATGCTTCTCAAAACACTTCTTTTTTACTAAAATTGTATCTTTATGTAAACTGCTTTAAAGACAAGAAAAATGCTATTCTAGAGTTTATTGGGACTAACATAAGACGCAAATTCTATCGCTACGTCATCAAGCGTAGATTTTGTGAAACCTGTTTTAAGTCTACACTATTTTTAATTAATGTTTTATTTAAATATTCTATACACTAAACCTATTTGTTGTTTCAGATTACCTAAGCTCCTGCTGGGTGACAGCTTTAGTCTGTGGAGTCACTCTTTTCTTCGTTTCTGTAATGTTGTCATCTTGTATGACATTCCAACATCACACGAGATCACCACGATGCTCTTCAGATTCTCACTTAATTGCCAACAAGACAATTCATCTAATCCATACATCGCACAAGTGGCAGCCTAGTCAGCTAGATCTGTTGAGAAATATTACAAATGCATTTCCGAATTATCAGATCCATCTTCTTGTCATCACTAACAAAAGCTGGAAGCTGATTAAAGTAAAGAGAGAAACAAATGAAACCAGACTTAACCAAACGCATCCATCACTTGTCAATGCAAGTGACAACACATTGGATGACATAGCAAAGAAATATCCAAATATAATCATCACTTATAAAACGTATCGGAATGTTTTCGTAAATAGTCCATTATTCCTAAACTGGATTTCCTTGAATCACCAAATGAGAATATTTGCCATCAGAGTTTTAGAAATATGGCAGAATGGCGGCCTCAGCTATGATTTACTGGAATACAAAACTCACTCTCACAGAAAATATAAAAACTGTACCAATATTGCTGAAATGAAAGTGCAAAGCTACATAAAAAGTGGCTACAAAAGATATGAACACCTACAACCAGAGGTTGTCTCGATAGACCGAAATGGATTTCACATGGAATGTAAAACGCCTTGTCATGCCTTTTTTAGTAAAGTTTTACAGAAACTGAGAAAAGCTGATGAAAATTCGTCGCCGAGAGATATTTTGTATGGGCCAATGTACACTTTCTGTAAAGCTGGGGTGATTGATAAAGAATTTTGTCACATTCAAAATATTTTATTTTAATAAAAATGTAGACAATTTTTGAGTTTGTCTAGTAATATCTGTAAATTTTAAAATGAATCTAACAAAATACTTTTAAAAATCTATACTGCTTTTAACTTAAAGGTGTGGAATGTTGATGTCTTCTTCACGGTTTTGCACGGCTTGCGTTACTATAGCCGGAAATGAAAGCGTGTTCCAAAAAGAATACAGGATCATTCCCAGCGGGTAGGTTTTAGCTAGAAGTTATTCGATCACGTTTGTCACTACTGCTGCTTTACAAGGTTATTGAAGCTGAATTATCGAATCATTCATTCAATCATTCCTGGAAAGAGAAAGTTCTAAACTAAAATCGATCAAAAGATTTGTCGTAAGATGCCCGGCACCCTCACAAACGTCCTAAGATTCATAGAAGATGCCAACATCACGCAAAAACGTCAACCACATCTCCCGAAAACTCCAAGAAACTGCTGACACTTATGTATACAAGGATCGGCTCAGGGCAGATTAGGAAATAGTTAACTTTATATTATAATTCCAAACACTACCTCTGGAGAATCTGTTTGGGGTTTTAGCTGCTTTCTTTATTTTGTTTATTTCAGATACTCGAATCCATTGATAAGATTGCGATTCTGATCCAAGTAAAAAAAAACTGATACAAAAAAGTACAACTTCCGTGATTTGTTCGACTCCAATGATTCTGAAATCATTCCATCGTATTTTTTTGTTTTGTTTTGCTCTTTTAGAAATAAATTTTCGCATTCTTCGTGGCTGGCATCGTGGTTCAAGTAAATATTGGTGTTGGGGAATATTTGTTGATTCCCAACTGCTTGTGCTTTTACAAGCAGTTCTGTTGGAGCACTGGAGAATTAAGTCACGGGGTACTTTCGACCAATGTTGTATTTCCTAACTCTCTTACAGTACTAACTTAAAACTAGAATGAAAATGAACAAGACACCCCCGATGCGTGCGCACGGGGTGGGGGAAATATTAGAAAATAGCGTCAAATCACAACATGCTCCCCGCGCTGAATTTAAAATTAGATAAAATTTAATTCAGTCTGTACAAGGCACTGCACACACTTTCGTAATTGGCCTTTTATACACTCCGCGCACAGTTTTTACACTTAACACTCTGCATTGACCGTCCTGCCCGGGATGTAATGCAGTAATCCTAGCGAGGGGCCATTGTAACGGTGGAGTGTTGTCCTCTTTGAGGATGACGAGATCTCCTGGTGCAGGTTGACGGGCCGGTAAACGATTCCACTTGCATCGCTGTTGTAAAGTGTGCAAGTACTCCCTAGACCATCTTTGCCAAAAGTGTTGCCGTAGTTGTTCCACCAGTTGGTAACGGGTGAGGCGATTACAGGGCACGTCCACGAGGTTGGGTTCCGGAGCGGCGATCAGGGGGGCACCAATCAAGAAGTGTCCGGGCGTCAAGGCGTTGAGATCATTCGGGTCATTGGAAAGAGGGGTTAAGGGACGTGAGTTCATGCAGCTTTCGATCATTGCCAACAAAGTGCTCATTTCATCAAAATTTAATAATGTTTTTCCTATAACCCTCTTAAGATGACCTTTGGCGGTTTTGACAGCAGCCTCCCAAATTCCACCCATATGCGGGGAATGTGGAGGTATAAAATGCCACTGTATATTTTGAATGCTAAGGATATCTATTACACTCGATCTAAACTCACTACTTTCAAATAATGTCTTTAATTCATGCAGATGGCGATTAGACCCTACAAAGTTAGTGCCATTGTCAGAGTATAAATGACTCGGTTTACCCCGGCGTGCTATAAATCGCTTAAGTGTATTCAAGAAAGTGAGGGATGAGCACCCGCAAACCATTTCAATGTGAACCGCTTTGGTACTAAAGCAGACAAATATTACAATGTAGACTTTGACTGTTTTGGTGGTACGCCCATATCCATTTTTTATAAGAAAAGGACCTGCATAGTCCACTCCGGATATACTAAATGGCCGCGAAGGCGTAACTCGGGACTTCGGAAGATTTGACATTAAGTGTTGATAAACAATGGGTTTGACACGATAACATTTTAGGCAATTAAATATCACTCCGCGAACGGTTGCGCGAGCTGCAATGGGCCAATATTTTTGTCGTAAGGCAGATAGAGTCGCTTGACATCCCGAATGCGCGCTTTCATCGTGATATTTTTTTATTATTAACTTGGTGACTGGATGATTTTTGGGCAGTAATAATTGATGTTGTTGATCAGGTAACAGTTCCGAATTATTTAATCGATCGCCGACTCTTAAGAGTCCGAATTCATCTATGAAGGGGTTTAAATTTAGAATTTTGCTGTTTTTAGAAAGTTGTTTGTGATGCCGTAAATTGTGCAGGTCTTCCGCAAAAACTTCGGATTGCAAGCTCTTGATTACGACATCGTGGGCCCGTTGCAATTCTTCACAAGTTAAAGAACCCTTTATTGTGTTTTTCTTGTTTGTTACGCTATGCTTAAAACGCAAAATATAGGCAGTGACTCTGATAAGTTTCACCAATGAAGAAAATCTATGTAGTAAATGAAATGGATCCTCAGGCTTTTGATTAACGATAGATAAACAACAAACCGCCTTAATTTCGGGAATCACTAACTGCGGATGTTCTTTAGCCGTAAAATTGATGTGCTCTGTATTGGTTTGAAGAAATTCGGGTCCATGCCACCATAGGAGCGACTGATTTAACCGAGACGGAGTACAGCCCCGTGACAGAATATCGGCGGGGTTTTTGTTTGACGGTACGTAATGCCAATCAGCATCTGCCGAAAGTGACTGTATTTCGGCGATGCGGTGAGAGACAAAAACCTTTAAGGTCGCGGGGTTTAAACTTATCCACGACAAAACAATCGATGAATCCGTCCAGTAAAATTTTTCTCGAATCGTCACATTAAGAATCTTTGTCACCTTATCTAACATACGAGCTAATAACAAGGCCGCGCATAATTCTAAACGTGGAATTGTTAAACATTGTAACGGAGCTACCTTACTCTTAGCGCATAACAGATGGGCCCGATAAATACCCATTGAATCCCTCGTGCGCAAATATACACAGGCACCGTAGGCATTTTGGCTAGCGTCGCAAAACCCATGAAGCTGCACAGCCTCCAAAGTGTGAATAACTCTACGCGGTATTGAGATATTATCTAACGCACCGAAATTTTTAACAAAACTTTCCCAACTTGTATGTAAATCGGCAGGTAAGCTTTCGTCCCAATTAATCTTCAAAGCCCAAATTTTCTGTAGGATAATTTTAGCGGTTACGGTTATGGGTGATACTAATCCGAGTGGGTCGAAAATCTTGGCGATGGTACTCAAAATTGCTCTCTTTGTTACTTGCGGTTGGGACGATATTTTACCATTCGTAGAGAACGTAATTGTGTCGGTATCGTTATGCCAAAGCACCCCTAATGTCTTTGTGGGTTGCTGTTTGTCCAAGGACACGGTACTTTGCATATTTACCTGAAGATTACTCACTAAGCTGGGGCAGTTGGAATTTATTTTGTGCAATTGAAAACATCCCGATTGTAAAATGAAATTTACTTCGGTTAACAATTGTGAGGCTTGTTCAATGGTATCAGCCCCTGTGATGAGATCATCGACATAAAAATCGTTATAAATTAAATCTGATGCTATGGGATATTGAATTTTTGACTGATTGGCGAGTTCTATTAAACATCTTGTGGCAAGAAAAGAAGAGCTAGCAAACCCATAAGTAACGGTGTTTAATTGATAAACCTTGACCGGTTCGTTAGTATTGTGACGCCAAAATATTTGTTGGTACTTCTTATGGTCATCATGTAACAAGATTTGACGGTACATTTTTTGCACGTCGGCCGTAATTACTATTTTGTGAGTTCTAAAACGAATCAAGATGCTGAAAAGGTCCTGTTGTAAGTTGGGCCCTGTCAGTAAGTTGTCATTTATTGACTTACTGTTGCTGGTTTTTAAAGACGCGTTAAAAACTACTCGCAGTTTAGTCGTGGGAGAAGATTCATTATAAACTGGGTGATGGCTTAAAAAATACCCTGAATTGTCTGGGTTTGGAATTTCAGACATGTGTTCGAGCGACAAATAAGCATCCATAAATTCTGAGTATTGTTTCAGCAATTGAGGATTTTTGTGCATCCGCCTTTCTAAGTTGTAAAACAATTTTAACGCGCGGTCCCTTGAAGTACTTATATTCGGAGGGTCGTTTATTAGGGGTAATTTAACTATAAAGCGTCCGTCTGCATTTCTGGAAAGACCTTCCCGAAAGTATTCTTCGCACAGGTCATTGCCACTAACAGGTGTACCTTCCGCGAATTCTTCTATTTCCCAAAATTTTTTTAGTTCATTAACCAGGGATACATTGATTACGTTACAAGAGGCCGTTTTCTGATTGTACCTAGCCGCGACAGCGCCCCCCACTATCCAACCAAAATGTGTTTTTTGTAATATTGGCCCTTGTTTACCAAGTCGAATCTGACCTATGCACATGAGATCCCAAAAAATCTCGTTACCGATTAAGAGATCGACCGGTTGCGACACATTATACATAGGGTCGGCCAACTTAACATTTGGAGGTAAATTGGCGAGTGGCGGAAATTCTGTAGAAGGTACGTTACCTGTTATTTCGGGAACAATTAAAAAATCTAATTTGGCCTCAAATGCGTTACAAATGGATGAAATTTTGACCTTCACAGCTTGTTTAATAGTAGACGAAGTGCAACCTATTCCTATCAATGGCAAATTAATATTGTGTAAATTTTGTAATCCTAAGATTTTAACCGCTCTTTCAGTGATAAAATTAGAGACGGACCCGTTGTCTAACAATATGCGAAATTGCACTTGTTTACCGTTCTTACCTAAAACATTAATAACTGCGGTAGAAAGAGTGATGTTTTTGTTAAGAATTTGCCCACAATTGCTACTGGTAACCTTTAATGAGGATGTTGATGGTTCTGATTCACTTGAAGAGTTTTCAAAATGCAACAAGGAATTATGGCGTTTATGGCACTTTCTACAATTACTAGAGGCGCAGGTTTCTAATTTATGTCCACCTCTAAGGCAGTTTACACATAATTTACGTTTTTTAATTTCAGAATATCTCTGCTCTACAGGTAAGTCCAAAAAACCTTGACAATTATAAATATTGTGTGATTGTTTGCAATATGGGCATATGGGTTGGTTAACGGTGGAATTGACTAAATGCGAGGAACTACGATTATTAGGAATTTTATTAAGCTTCTGAAAACTATTTGAACTTGACTTGAAACTGTGGTTAGCTTCAAATGCCTCCCACATCTGGCACCTCTGCGTTAAAAATTGGAACATTGATTCCATATTTGGAATTTCGTTGGAAAGAGTGCTTTCCCATGCGACGGTCGTATGTTGATCGAATTTTGCCGCTATCATATGTATAAGCAAATCGTCCCACTGGTCGGTGGGACGTTTAATGTTTTCTAGGGCCTTTAGATTTGTGTGTAAAGTCTGTAACATTGACCTAAGTGACTTTGAATCTTTATTGTTAATCGCGGGCAACGTAAAAAGGGCGCGTACATGATGTTGTACTATTATCCGTTTGTTTTCGTATCGCTTTACCAATAATGACCACGCCGATTCATAATTTTCTGTAGACGGGGACAAATGCGCTATAGTTTGCTGCGCCTCTCCCTTTAGGCTGCCCTTCAGGTAGTGGAATTTTTGTATTGGATTCAGTTGACTATCGTGAATTAATGTTTTGTATGAATCACGAAAGCTGATCCACTCGGTAAATAAACCCGTAAAAGTGGGCAGTTGGATGTCCGGTAATTTTACGTTAGCTGAAACTGCGCTGCCGTTACTAGAATCGGTACTGCTGTTAATTGCATTTTTTGCCTCGCTAATTATTTGATAATAATCGTCTTCGAAATTATTAAGCTCATCTTCTGTCGCTTGCGTTTCATCAAAGACATGTATTTGCGTATGATAATCCTCAAATTCTTGCAATAATGAATATATACCTTGCAATCGCACACTAATTTCGTCGCGTTTATTTTTGTTTTCTTCTTGATTTACAAAATTAATGAACCGAGTAAGTTTTCGTCTAACATTGGCTCTCTTAGCTTTGAGGGCCTTGATTTCGTCCGCATTAGTCATAATTAACGAATTTAACTTATTACTTTTTACTAATTTAGCGAAAGAAAGATGAAACAATAGGTGTATGTGACACTAAATTGGCAATGACAAAGAGCACGCATGAACTTAATAGGAATGGGAATATAGGACTGACCTCGCCTTTGCTGATGATGTCCACGGAGCTCCTCGCTGCCTCCACGCCGTATCACGCTGAAGTTGATCGACGTCGGTGTGTTTTTGATGATTATAAACCGAATCGAATATCCGGCTCGAAGGACCAATTAATATGTTGGGGAATATTTGTTGATTCCCAACTGCTTGTGCTTTTACAAGCAGTTCTGTTGGAGCACTGGAGAATTAAGTCACGGGGTACTTTCGACCAATGTTGTATTTCCTAACTCTCTTACAGTACTAACTTAAAACTAGAATGAAAATGAACAAGACACCCCCGATGCGTGCGCACGGGGTGGGGGAAATATTAGAAAATAGCGTCAAATCACAACAATTGGAATTAGTTGGCTTTAACTCCATTCAATGACATCTTCTACGAAGTGACACGGAGGATTCTGGATTTTCTGGATTTTAATTATATGGGGGCTAATCGTAGCCAGCCTCGCCTTTGGGCCCATTATGCCTTCCCCAGCTCCATATCAGGGTCTTCTCGTTCCTCTATTCGTCAAGCCCCCCAACTTCGTGAATGTACTTGAGTAATGCAGGACGTGGGAACTCCATAATTTTTGCCATACTAGGCCAGATGTCCCCTAGTATGGATTGCCTGTAAGAGGATAGCGCTGGACACTCACGAAGAATGTGTTTCTTCGTTGCATACACGACAGATTGGATTGTAGCTAGTATATGACATACCGAGGCCGAAAGTATTCCATTCCTGTGATGTTACTTCCATCTGTTAAGTGGAAAGTGATAGATAAGTGACATATGTCACTTTGCACCCTTGAGATTGAACTGAAGTATGTAATAGCTCACTTTCAGACTTACTAACCGATTATGAATAAAAGTATTAACTCTTGTTGAGGTAAAAATTTCGGCTCTGCGACAGTGTTTTCAGTGACATTTTAGAAACTTCAATTTCAGAGTAGTTCACAAAAACGAAATTTTAGACAAGTGTAGTACTTTTCAACTGTACAAATAACTCTCATCTTAACAACACAGACGAAATTTCAGAAAGAATGAATGAATATTTCACAATAGGTTGAAATCTATAGCAGTATATAATTCAAAAATATTCTAATCTAATGTATTTTTAATAATACAACCAGATTGGTGCTAATCAAAATGACAATATTTTTATTCATGACTCTCTCAAGAAAGAGAACTTGATACTGCAGTTATACATTCAGCTTGAAATAATACACAGATCTTGAATCAGTTGTATGCACTTAAATTTTCATTTCCAGCAAATTACTAAAAAAATTGTTATAATGTAATTAAGCATTTTCTACCATTAGTATAACACATACCTACATTTAAAATTATACCTTCCTAATATTTCAGCCACATGCCATACTTGATCTTGTTACAAAGAAGTCGTATAGTAAAAAAATAAATTAGTTCCACGCCCGACACCATAGACATTCCTGTAAAAAAACTCGAAAAGCCTCCAATATTCGAAATTAATTCTGGTATTCCACCCCATTCGTTTCTAATGACGGAGATGAAAAACGGCTTCTTGAAGTAAATAGTTAGAAGAGATAATTCATCACTATAAAATAACGAAAGAATGTTTTTCTAAGCAATTTTGGCATAAGAAGTGTCATTTTTCACAACGTTATGAAATGGTTTACTTTTCGTAACTAGTTACAAAATATATACTCTACATAACAAAACAGTAACAATCTGGGTTAAAATTCCTTGTGAAATTTTGAAAACAGTTCCTTAATAATTTATTTAACAATTTATATTCGTGGTTCTTACTGTACTTCTAAATGCTGAGAAGTCGTTACAAGTCTTAAGACTTAAATTTAATGAAACGTACAACATAAATTGTGATTGACACAAACATTCAGGTACGAAGACATCTTTAATTTTTAAGCATTCTCTATTCTCTCGTCTGTTGTGTTGATTAAATTATATAAAATAATATACTCCTACTCCTACAGTTTTAGTTTATGAATCCTTATTGATTTCTTACCCTAGATAGAGACAAACGTTTTAATCTCGAAATTGTGCAGAAAATAAATCCCATTTAAAATGTATCTGTACTTATGATTTATCAATGCATTAATAGACGAAAGACTTACAGAACATTTTTCAACATTTAATGTAATTTTTAACCGCAATAAGTTCATTTCTTTATGAAACATTTAGGCAACCAGTTATACAGATGCGTGTGGTCTTTGTTATGCGTCTTTGGGCATTTAGTAAAGTTCAAATCTGAAAGGCGGCACGTATATTCATGACCTACTTCAACCCTATAATCATTTATAGAAACCAAGTAGATTAGGATATTAGGATTAATAGAAGTGCAACATTTTTGGACGAACTTTGTCACTTTAGTCCGAATGGTATTTTTTCTCCAACCTAGATAAAAAAAAATTGGAATCGGGAAGTTTAGCCCTATTCGCTCGGTTAGAATTAAATTGAATAATAAAATAAATAGCAAGAACAGATGTAGCCATTTTCCATATTAGTGTTGAGTTTGTGAAATTTTCATAAAAATGAGTTCATATGAACTGATCAATTTAAAATTAATGACATTGACGATGTAAAATCAGCTTTGCTAATTAAAGTTCATCAAACTAAAACCAAAAAGTCCCGCTCATTTACGGTTTCGGGAGAGAATTATCTGCGGTTTTTTTCGAAAGTATGTTGCTCTGCGGCCTCCAAATATTGAAGAACGACGATTGTGTTTATAATATATTGTTACAAAATAAACCCATACGCCGCCCCGGTACGACGCCTACGGCGATGATGACTCATTATCGATGACGCCGGCCGGAGAAAAGCCTGGAAGCGGATGTCGCGATGGGTGTTCCAAAACAAGCCTAGAAGTGATGACGGAGACTTTCGAGAAGGACCGCGCGCCTGTTTAAATGGGGAACCACCGTCGGGAACAGTTAGTGTCGGAATTATTCGGTACATAATCGTGTAAATTGGAGTTACTGAGAAATAGAATTGTTGAGTTTTACCCACGCCGATTTTATTCACCGATCAACGTAACAATATTAATGGAAAATGTCATCAGGTAGTTGTCGCTATTCAGAAAATCAGTGCCGTACCTCCGGAAATAGCAAAATTCTTAAAACTATAAAATTGGAAAGAATACACAGGACACTAAATGCGAATATCTTTTGCCACACTTCTTGGGGACGCAGGGGGGTGACCTGACGTGTCTTAAAAGACACGGAGGTTGGAGATGCAGCACAATTGCAGAGGGATATATTGAGGAATCACGTTTCAGCAAAGAAACTATTGCCAAGAAAATATTGCTATCTGATATACCCACAATGCTCGTATCTGATGTCACAAGCTTTCAAATCAAAATGCTGAGACTTATTCTAACGCTACTGAAACTTTGTATTCTCTACAAAATGTCAATGTTTCCTCTGATACTTCTGTCAGTAATTTAATAATTAATAAAAATGTTGTGGACTATTCCAAGAATGATACAAGTTCTAGTTCTGACAGCTTATTTATTTTGCACAGTTGTTCAAATTGCACATTTAATATTAATATAAATAAATAATTTCAGATTTTACTTGCTATTCTTCTGATAAAAATTTAGATATTTTTTCTGCTAGGATTATAAGTTACTATTTTTAGTCCTAGCAGAAAATGTGGCGAAATTTTCTCGTAATAACGGGAACGTCAAGTTTTCAGACGATTTACAGTTAAACATGAGTTAAACAATGTCATATTTTGTGACGGTTGGAGAAAAAATATTTAATTTACTTTCCATAAACCGGCCCCAGATCTTTTTTTCTTCGAAAAACAGGATTTACTTCATCGTAATTTTGTTTAGCACAACAAATAACTTACCTACTCTTTTTAAATAAATAATTTTGGGTTAACATTTAGATTTATAACAAACGTCACCTGCACACTACAAAAAATTGCGATTTTGTTTTTTCAAAAATACTCCAATCAGATATTTCGGTTTCAATATCGTGTACAATTATTATTAATTAAATACATACGTGGTAGTGTTGAATCCTCCTGTTTCGTTGAAAAATGTTTCATACCATTGATTTTCATAATAATCTTTCCAATTCCAAGTACCTTCAGTAAAACTATTGAGATACAAATAAGATGTACACCTGGGGAGACAATCACAATAGGTGGTTTCTTTTTTTTGATAGCTGGCCTGTGATTCTAATATTCTAAGTTCATCTGAAAACTTTAATTAAGTTTGCACAGACAATCACATTTCTTATTTTTAAACCTCTTGATCGTTTTGCACAAACAATATTATCTGCACCACAGATCGGAGTATTTTTCTTCCCTAAAAACATAGGTATCGCAAAGTTTAACGAAAAATCAGAAGCTATTATTATACTTGGCATGTAAAACTCCGTACAATTGCAACGTTTTAACATCATTTCTGTCCTACACTCAAGGTAACAGTTTTTATTAGTATATTGTGTAAAGTACTTCAGAGGTTTTTCATAAGGACGGTAACATTTCCTGTAAGAAGGTGGCATTTTCAACACTCTTTCATGCGTTGCAATCTTATGTAAATCGACCACCACAGTCACAAACTTATTCCGTGGAACCAAAAAATAATACTTCGATGGATGTGGTATGTCAATTGGACGATGTATTATAACCTTGAATATAAATCAGTACTTAAAAACTACAAACAGAACATAAGACACAAACTTTGAAACCAGTATACACTGATTTGCACTTAAAAGTTTCTTGTAATTTATTCGCTTTTAAAACTACTCGGAGACCGTTGTGATTACCAAACAGTAAGGCACGATTAGGATAGGTGTCCAATCTGAGAGGCTTGTCATCTTCTGTCCACCCCATTGTGGGTTTGCTTTTATAAAAGTTTCGATGATTATACACTTCACTGGTAAAAAAATCTTCTCGGGTCCTCATATTAAATGTGTAACAAATTCCCACGTCTGTTAAAGTTGGAAAAAATAATTCCGAACACTTGTGTCGTGTTCCAAAAATGTCACAGGTTAAAAAAATTTCGTCAAGAGGTTGATATATCTAGTTGAAAAGAAGAAATCAAGTTTTGTTACATTACGTGGGGGTGGAAACCAGTGGCGGCTCGTGAAGTTTTCTTCAGAGGAGGCTCAAATTTGAAAAGCACTACTTTTTATATCTTTCATTATCTGAATAATTTTTTTTTTGTCATGCCCACGAAAAGAACACTCCTGCGTTGATAGATAAACTATTGCATCGATTAGTCTTTTCAAAATTGCCTTATTTTTACCAACTTTCTCGTTATAGTTCTCAATATCCCTCTTATGAGCGGAATCTAAAGTAGTAGAAGAAAATATGTGTTCCTGTGATTTTTCATGCCTTTCTATTGCTCATGACAAATTTTGTAAATTATTATAGCCTGTTTTATCCCAAACGGAAAATTTATCACTTGTGAATAATACACAATTCCAGCAGTATAATTTGTTTCTTAAAAAACCGAAGCCGTTAACCATTTAGTTTTATTATAATTATTTTCATGAAATGCTCTGTTTTGCTTTTTACCTGTCATTACCATTAATGGCAGTGGTGGTGTTGGTCTCCCCTTTTGTTTTATAGCGATCTTTGTATTACAATCAAAGCTACTAAATTCATTTTTTAATAGATAATTTAAGTATCTGCACATGAGACTGAATTATGTTCGTTGCTCATTCTCGTTAAGTATAAGTAATATTAATATGCCGATAATACCAGCTGTTTTTATCGATCAGAAATAAAACGCAAATAAATGATACAAAAAACACCTTAGGCTTTACGTAGGTACTAAAGTCTAAACACCACTCACCACTGAATAGAGAGCACGCGAAACTACCTCAATGTTTTTCCAATTTACACCCGATCGCTCCAATTAATAAGAAAGAGATAAAATTATCCGTGCGACTTGATCTGAAAAGAGATGAACTAGCCGGAGGCTAGCGGCCTGAAGCGGCACCCTGATCAACGTTTTAGCCAATGCAGTACCGAATGACGATGCGTCAAGGTTGCGGTCTCAATAGTAAGATGCATTCTGGGCGGAGGCTAGCCTTTATCGCTGAAGCCAAACGCGGAGTGGTGTGAATTGTGATTGTAAGGGCGCAAATATAATTTTTTTCGACATTTTAACCTGATATCTGATGAAAGTAAATTAAATCAAACAACATATTCTGAAAAGTAACAAATGTCTACAAAAATACAAATTCTTTCATCGAAAAAATTAGAGGAAGCTCAGCCCCAAAAAACAGAGGAGGCTCAGCCTCCCCTGCCTCCTCTGAGAAGCCACCACTGGTGGAAACTTCTTACTTGATCTATTAGCTCAAAGAAGTCGTCGTGCAAGATGGTGCTACCAAAATTCCAGTCCTTCTTTTCCTCTGCACACAGGAGAACTATATACTGTGCAAGAGTTAGCCTAAAATACTTTGTTTAATATAAAGACAAAAATCAAAATAAATTTCATTTACGACTTTCCCGGAGGTACGGTTTGGTTAACAAGCATATTTTGTATTTCCTCGGGAGTAAAAGCATTGTAAACGAATTTATTCTCTGGGCAGATCGTCACAGATGGAAATACATTATAAAGTACTGCATTGTCAATATCGTTAGAGTTATAGCTAAGAATAATGGGAGAAGAGAGTCCAAATTGTATTATAACCCAAACTATCAAAATTGCACATGTTATCAAACTTAGACATACAACCCATCCCCAAAATATCCTGAAACACAACGTTGGTACGTTACACTACAGCAATATTTTTGCGAGACAGCTTACTTTTCACAGGTGGTACGTTTTTCGCCTAGGTATCTAATCCCGTGAACGTCGGAATTGTAAATAAAATGAACGGCATGTTTCCGTAATTTGTAATATCTACCTTCAAAATCAGTCTCATGCTCCCTTTTTTTCTGTGCTTCTACTCTTCTTAGGACTTCTGCCCTTTCTAAATCATTCAAATATAATACGATACGTTCTTGAAAATAACTGAAAAAGGTTGGTCATTATTTTATGGAAAATGTAACATTTTGTTGTACGATCGATTGCGATCTATTTCTTCAACATTTGTACTCGCTGTCGGAGAATTTCTACAATAAAAAAAACATTTACGTGATAAATGCAAAATTTAAAATGTTGGTACGATTTTTTGGATGCTGCTGCTTCTGAATCTATTGCACCTTTAAGTTGCACCCGAGGCTTACTGTAAGGGGTAAGCGGTTCAACAGAATTTGTTTCCACTACTTCTTTGTTATTCATTTTTTGTTATTATACATTCGACTGAAAAACGGCAAAAAAGTAGTACTGTAAAAATGTCAAAATTTGCAATGACAGACATGAATTTTCCTGTATAATCAACTCAACCATGTTATCTATCGGGTGTCTAAATGAAAACCTGATCTCACTAGCTTTTGTTTATTATTTTTTTCACAACTGCACATTCACGGATATTTGTTATACGTGTTACGTCTATTAAAATATCTATGAAAGTCTCTCGTTTTGCCACGAAGACTTTTTTTTATTAATAAATCAAGGGTAGCTCTCCCCAAATTTTTCACTAAAATTTTACCGTCGTGACATAGAGGACGATTTTTTATTAAATATTCAACCGAATTGATTATTTTTATTTAAAATCAAACAATTTCACTCGCGCAGATAGAAAATTAAAACCCGCAATTGAGTTACTGCTCATGGGCAATGTCGGAACAGGGCGCGTATTCTCTAATTCAGAACCAAAACGTAAGGTTTTGAAAACGCTTAGCGTAATGTGAGACGTCAAAGTCATGACAAAGCGACAAGCACATCGTCAGCCAATTTAATTTGGTATTCTGTATTGCCAAACGTTTTCCAATAACCAGTCGTTTCGAAAACGGTGAGCACTTGCTGGCAACACAGCATAACATCTCTGTCAATTCTATTTTTTTTTATTGTTGATAATCGTGACTTTTCTAACTTTATCTAATATCGAACACAACAAACATTACTCCGCAATTGCAAAAGCGAATGTTATTAGAATTCATCGAAGTTACTTTTGATATGTTTAATGCGTTGCCTACAAGAAAGTATTACGGGTTGAACAGATAAAATAATCACCCTGTATTGTTTACCTTTTTTGCAATAAAAAATTGGATATTTCAACAGAACTTCCACTGTCCTTGAGATACGGTCCAAAAAAGCCCGCTTCTTTGAAAAATTATAGAATTTGATTTTACAAGTTTCTTTTATGATAAGATAACCTCTATAAAGTGACAACCAGTGGCGCCGCAAGGGTCCAATAATTTCCAGGGGGACGTGGTCCATACAAATGCAGACAGTATAAAATATATTTAAAGCCGATAACCAACTGGAAAATGTGTTTCTCAGTATGCATGCTTGAATTTTAAGAAAAACCATTAAAGAATTTGTGTTAAAAAAATGAAATTTGGTTGATTTTGTCTCCTCAGTACTGGGAGAGGATTAATTAATTAAGCACACTCGTGCTTATTTCCAAAAATGTAGCGTCTAGTGAAAACTCATACATTTGAAGAACATTAAATAGGGAAGTTTGTAAGATGACGTCATCATTTTTTGGGGAGGCCATAAACGAATAAATTTTGATTAACGATTAGCCATGCTTTCTAGAATCGATTGCACGATTTCAGAGCATTCGCTTATACAGTTTCAATGTTAAATTGTAAAATATTGTTATACAATGTGGTGACCGAATTTAAATCAAAATTTTCGCGCTGAAATTAATTAACAGCGGCGCGAAATCACATTTAGATAATCTGAATTTGAAAGAGAAAAAAATTCAAGAACAAAAAAAAAGAAATCGTTAAACATAGGCAACCAAATATGCACGTAGCACTAGAGGATTTTAGTTAGAGGGTTGGTAGAGACATGACCGACTAGTATAAAGATTATGGCCTGTCCAAGAGGTACCATACGTGTTGCCATCTATTAATAATTACACTTAATAATTTAGCAAAATTTTAATTTGACTTGACATTATGGGATTTCAAAACGTGTAATGGTGGTTTGTTTCGGTATGAATGGCTTTGTGCCTTTCAAAAAGCGTTAATAATTCTTTTGTCGTTTTTGAATTATTAATAGATGGCAGCACGTATGGTACCTTTGGCATTCCTTTGGACAGGCCATAATCTTTATACTAGTCGGCCATGGTAGAGACAAAGGGCGGCATGGTGTAGCGTCAGTCTGAATGTGTTTTTGTGATTGTAAACACGTAGTAAGAGCTAGTTTAAAATAGTTGGTTTGGTAGTTAATAAAAGGGAGGAAGCCTGTTTTGTATAATATTCGAAGGACCATCTGCCACGAGCTATGAGGCTCAGCAGAAAAGAAAAAGGCCGTAGATGCCACTAACACTCTTTATTGAACCTCGTGTTACAATGTCTTAAAATGCTATGAAATTTGTTCGGACCCTGTCCCTTGCGAGAGGCCCGTCCCTGTCGTTCGAAGGTGGGGGTAGGTACCCGGTTTCCGTCTCAACATCCCGGCCCCCTTGAAGCGTAGGTTTCAAAAGTGTAAAGTTTTAAAATATTACAATAAATGTCGATTAATGTAACAAATACAATAAGTTCCAAATGGAATATACATTCCAGTAAACAATAAAAAAAAATGTAACAGTGAATACAAATAATTGTTCGTGCAGAATTGTTGATCACTTTCACTGCTAACGCAAAATGGCCATAAATCACTCCCGAGCACATGGTAGCACACACAATGTTCGCACCGCACGTTTGACGATCTTGTGGTCCACCCTGACGGAGACCACCCTGGTGACGCCGTCCTTCCCTGGATGTAGCTCGGTGACGCGGCCCCGCTTCCACGTGAGTGGGGCTGTGGTGTCCATTAGCAGGACCAGACTTCCCGGCATCAACCTGGCAGATCCTTGTTGGCTCCATTTGGTCCGATTCTGCAAGGTACTCAAATATTCCTTCGACCAGCGCCTCCAAAAGTGTTGCCGCATCTGCTCCACGAGTTGCCAGCGAGTGAGCCGATTGGTCTTGACGTCAATGAGGTCTGGCTCCGGAATCGAGGTTAGGGGTGACCCGATCAAAAAATGGCCCGGTGTGAGTACGTCCAAGTCGTTAGGATCCGCCGAAAGCGGGCACAAGGGGCGCGAATTCAGGCACGCCTCTATACATGCCAAGACAGTAGACATCTCCTCAAAAGTCAAAACCGAGGGACCAACTATTCGCTTTAAATGATATTTAGCAGATTTAATTCCTGCTTCCCAAATGCCTCCAAAGTGAGGCGCCCGGGCAGGAATGAAGTGCCATTTAATATTTTTGGTTTCTAAAAATGTTTCTATGTCGTTACTAACTTTACGCTGCTTGAACATGATTTGGAGTTCATTGTGAGCCCCGACAAAATTAGTAGCATTATCTGAATAAATATTAGATGCTACGCCCCTACGAGACACAAATCGCTTTAATGCCGCCAGAAAATTTGCTGTAGTTAGCTCTGAAACTAATTCTAAATGAACAGCCTTAGTCGACATACAAACAAAGAGCGCGATGTAAGCTTTGAGAGTTTTTTTGTTGCGTGTTTTACCATCTTTTATGATAAGAGGTCCCGCATAATCTAGGCCGCTATTTAAAAATGGCCTGGCTGGAGTAATACGCACGGATGGTAGGTCACCCATTATTGGAGTTACCTGTTTCGCCTTAAATCTAGCGCAAATGGTACAATTGTGTATTACCTGACGGACCAGGTCTTTACCTGCGAGTGGCCAAAATCTTTGTCTTACTGCCGATAAGGTGGCTGTTGGTCCCGAATGTAGTTGTATCAAGTGTTCTTCCTTTATAATTAACCGCGTTATATGATGTTTTGGAAGCACAATCGGAAATTTTTGATCAAATTGAATGTTCGAATTACGCAGCCTGCCACCTACCCTGATTAATCCCGATTTATCCAGAAATGGATTTAATGTTTTTAATTTGCTATTAGAACGCACTTGTCCTTTAGTACCTAGATTAATTAGTTCTTGTGGAAACTCTATACCTTGTACAAGATGCAAAATGACTAGAAATGCTTGCGTCAATTCTAACAGCGACAACGAACCTGTCCGTCTGTCATGCTTATTTCTACAATTATGAATAAATCTTAAACACATGGCCATTACTCTTTTTAATTTTGAGATGGAGGAATATCGTGTTAAAATTGGAACTTCAAAATTGTTTCCGGATATGAGTGCAACGCCCTTTAATTCAGGTACTTCGGTAGGTTGTAGGTGCGGTTTTGGCCAATTTTCTGACGATTCCCTTAACCAATACGGTCCGTGAAACCATAAATCACACTTGAGAAGCTCACTGGGATAAGCTCCTCGCGATATTATGTCGGCTGGGTTATCCTTTGTGTTTACATGTTGCCATGTATCCACAGTGGATAAATTTTGGATTTCGCTTACTCGATTAGCGACAAAGGTATTCAGCGTCGATGGCGAGGTTGCTAACCATGCCAGTACTATAGTAGAATCTGTCCAGTAAAAAACAGAATTGATTGACAGTCTTAAATTTTTAATCACGGTATTCGTCAGCCTCGATAGTAATAATGCTGCACATAATTCGAGCCGCGGGATGGTTATTGTGCGTAATGGTGCAACCCTTGATTTGCTGCATAACAAGTTACACGAAATCGTACCGTCCGCGGCGATGGTACGTACATAGAGAGAGGCTCCATAGGCACGTTGCGAAGCGTCGCAAAAACCATGAATTTCGATAAGACAATACGGGTATTTGTCGATTACACTACGCTGAGTTAAGCAACTATTTAAAATAGGTAATTCTTTTAATAATTGTAGCCAAATAGTCATAGTTTCAGAGGGAATTGTTTCATCCCACCCTAATTTTAACTCCCATAATTTTTGAATAATTAACTTGGCCTTTACAGAAACTGGGCCAACCAGGTTTAAAGGATCGAATATTTTGGAGACAATTGATAGTATTTTTCGTTTTGTGAAGTTTTCATGCGACCTATAATCACAATTGATGTTATACCTTAACGAATCCTGTTTACAATTCCAATAAAGACCCAAAGTTTTTGACTCCCCCTCTTTATCAAAACTGATAAAATCATTGTTTTGACCGTTTGTATCCGAAGTATTCAGGGAAATATCATCAGGTAAAATATTTGAGTTGTTCGACGCCCATTTCCTTAGTTCAAAACCCCCGCTTGTTAATACCTGTATTAATTGATCTCGAATTTTCACAACTTCTTCTATTGTGTCGGCCCCCGTGAGTACATCGTCCATGTAAAAATCGTGTACTATTACTGGATAAACCTTAGGGTATATTTCACGATTTTCATCGGCTAACTGTTGCAAACAGCGTACCGCAAGAAATGGCGCCGAAGCGGTGCCATAAGTCACTGTATTTAACTGAAAGACGCGTAACGGCTTATGTGCGTCCTCACGCCATACTATTCTTTGAAATTGTCTATCTTCCGGAGCTATTAATATTTGTCTATACATTTTGTTAATGTCGCTCGAAATTACGTACCTGTGGAATCTAAATCTTAGCAATATGGAAATTAGGTCATCCTGTATTTTTGGGCCCACCGCTAGTATATCATTCAGACTGATATTACTCGATGATTTACAACTGGCATCGAATACGACTCGGATTTTGACAGATTCCCGAGTTTCGCGAACCACTGCGTGATGAGGTAAATAAAAACAATTTGAATCAGTTATTGATGCTAATGGTATTGGTTCCATGTGTTTTAACTGTTCATACTCTTCCATAAATGACCTGTAACGCTCTTTTAAAAGAGGGTCGTTAATAAACTTTCTTTCAAGTGCCGCAAATCGTTTTATGGCTACCTCTGCAGATGTTCCTAATCTTTCGGACGACGCCTTGAAAGGTAATTTTAGGATAAACCGCCCGTCTACATTTCGTTTATAGGTACTCATAAAGTGTTGTTCACATTTCCGCTCTTCTTCGGAGAAAGGAATATTTGCGTTGGCAGGCCATTCCTCAATTTCCCAAAACCTTTTAATTTGTCGGTCTATTGAATTAAGAGACAAATGGCATACCGAGAAGGGTAAAGGATTATGACATTGAACATCGCCGCCTGCCAACCAGCCAAGCGAAGATTCTTGGAAGTGTAGGGAACCATTTGTTGTTTTTATTTGGCCCATTTTCATTATTTTCCAAAAAATGCCTACTCCTAATAAAAGATCTATTTCACCCGTTTTGAAAAATTCTACATCGGCCAGGTTTAAATTAGACGGAATTTCTAAATGGCATTTCTCCAAAGAGATTAATGGCAAATTATTAGTAATTTTACGCAAAACTAAACATTGTACTTCATAGTTTGGCGAATCATCATAAACAGATTTAACGATAATTTCGCATGCATCACGACTTCTACCTTGACAATCGCCAATGCCATTGATGACCCAATCAGTTTTCTTAGTTTCAAGCCCTAAAAGTTTTACCGCCTTTTCAGATATAAAATTGTGTTGGGATCCCACATCGAGTAGAGCTCGCAATTTTACCCAAGTGTTTTTTGCACTTGAAACTAGTACAATCGCTGTTGACAATAAGGCCTGAGTACTGGATTCCTTACTCATTGAATGTGAAACAACCGAATGACTGTTGGAGTTATTATCGCTAGTTGTAGCGGGATAATCAATATGTAATAAAGAATTATGCCTCTCATTGCAAAATTTGCATAAACTTGCCTTGCATTTATCGACTGTGTGGTTTCTTCTAAAACAGTTCTGACAAAGCTTTAATAATCTGACCTTATTTAATCTTTCCATTATGGGCAATGCAAGAAATTTGTAACAATGGTATAACGTATGAGATTGCTGACACAAAAAACATTTTAACGTATCCTTATTATCATTGCTTAGACCTGTGTTGCATGCAGTAGTTTTAGTAACGTTGTTATTTGATTTCGCGAAATGCTTATGAAAATTCGAGGTATTTTGAACTTTATGATTTGCCATGTCATGTGAATTTAACGATTCTAACAGTAAGGTTCGTTTTTCTAAAAACTCTAGCAGTTCCTTCAATGACGGTACCTGATTTGATAAACCTGATTCCCACTCCCTTTTTGTAAGAAAATCAAATTTTGACACTACAATGGGAACAACAAATATATCACACTTTTCGGTATCTTGCTGAAGCACCTTTAGTGCTTCCATGTTTACTTTAACGGTGTCTAACAATTTGCGCAATGAAGAGGCTGAGTTTTTAATTATTTGTGGAGTATTCAAAATAGCTACCACGTGCTCTTGAATAATTAACCGCTGATTATTGAACCGTTTTTCTAACAATTCCCACGCGACCTTATAGTTTGAAGCTGATACGCTAAGCATTTCAACAGTTTTATGAGCATCGCCTTTTAAACATGATTTTAAATAATGAAACTTTTCGATATCACTGTACAACTGACTTTCGTGAATCAACGATTTAAAGGTGTCTGAAAATGGGGTCCACTGCAAATAATTCCCCGTAAACGACGGCAATTCCAATGTGGGCAACCTTACCGGGTTAATTACTCGCGATTGATTAGTGGTATCACTACTACCTGAACTACTGGTTGACGGTGGGATCGTTGATCCATCGTCGATCAAAAGCTGCATGTGTGCCTCTAAATCATAATAGGTGGTTTCGAACTCATCACGCTCTTTGTTTTGTCTTTCGCTAGACTCAATTAATTCTATCTGATTTTGAATATTATCAAATTCTCTAAAGGCTTCGCGCAAATTTAATAATCTAGACCTAATTTGATACGTACGAGTATTATCGCTTGCGGTGAATTTTTCTACATAAGATTTGATTCGCGTTACTTTACCTTTTATTAAACCTCTACGAGCTATTAATACTTTAAGTTCTTCTTCGGTCATGTTTTTTTTTTTTTTAAGTTGAATTGAAAATGACTAACAAATATAACTGTTTATATGGTGGTACAAATACGGTTAGTTGACTTAAGAGGAAACGCACCAACTGAATTAACATGCACAAAGACTTACCAATTGCACTCGACCGCACCTTGACTGGGGACACGCCACTGCAGCCTGATGAGGTATCTTCCATAAACTTCCCTCTGATTCGATGATTACGATCCGGCTCGAAGGACCAATGTTTTGTATAATATTCGAAGGACCATCTGCCACGAGCTATGAGGCTCAGCAGAAAAGAAAAAGGCCGTAGATGCCACTAACACTCTTTATTGAACCTCGTGTTACAATGTCTTAAAATGCTATGAAATTTGTTCGGACCCTGTCCCTTGCGAGAGGCCCGTCCCTGTCGTTCGAAGGTGGGGGTAGGTACCCGGTTTCCGTCTCAACAAAGCCTTTGTTTAACGACAATCAATCGTAATTTCTATAACGACACAGTTTTCCCCAAACCGCGCGGCTAATTCTTGCGGCTTTTAATCGAAAAAGTGCGGACTTCTGTTCAACGCGGAACACGTGCTGTAAATTTGTTTTATTGTTTGTAAATTCACCACTCAAGTTAGTTTTTCTTAATCGTCAGCTAGTGCAAACACAATTTAACAATCAGGATTATTTAAATAAACCACTTGCTAGAAGATTTCATAAAATTCACTTAGTCAGGAAAACACCTTTGGTGTTTAATTACGAATAGGTTTCTGGATGCATATACGTAAGTGTTATATTATAACGCTTCTTAATTCTTCACACAAGATTGCTAATATTGCATTTACGGCAGTTAAACAAAATTCATTATACTGCGAACTGGCGGAGGGTTAAAATAATTTCATCACTGAGGCATGTCCTCACAACCCTACAGATTGATTACTTCATTGGGGCTTGTCCTCACAACGCTACAGATTGATTACTTCATCGGGGCTTGTCCTCACAACGCTACAGATTGATTACTTCATCGAGGCTTGTCCTCACAACGCTACAGATTGATTACATCATCGGGGCTTGTCCTCACAACGCCACAGATTGATTACTTCATCGAGACATGTCCTCGCAACGCTAGAGATTGATAACATCATCGAGGCAATTCCTCGCAACTATAAACCGAGACGCTTTTTCCTGGCAACGATGATTGGATATTTTTGTGTTTATTTATTATGTGTTTTGTTGGGGGAACCAGTTGGCGGTATTTTAAACTCTCAAAGTAAATTGTTTTTTTTAAGTAACCAATCACTTAAATCATGACATAATTTAACATAATGTAAATTCTTTAAAGTCGTTGATAAAGTGTGGCAAGTATTAATCTCATGTAAATTTTGTTAACTTTGCAATTGTTCACCTCATACAGTATTTAAATTTAAAGAACCTTTATTCGTGTTCGGGTTTCGGTTTTACCTTGCAATGTATCGCTTCCGATTTTAACAACTTTGTACATAGACTCCGAACCGTCAACAACAAGTAAATACAGTGTTACACAGCACATGTTTGTGTTTCATTTATATCAATCTTTTTCGGTACGTATGTATGAATAACAATCATACATCCAACAATGGTCCTTCGAGCCGGATGTCTCCACATGTGTGATCCAGTGCTGTGAATTCAACAATAAAACGCGGTGGTGCCATTTTTCGACGCCTGTATCGGGAGACGTGATCTACCGGCCATCGGAGTTCCCTACCGGACAGGAGAGCAGCGAATCCAGCCCATCCAGTCGTTTCATCCAAGGTTCTAAGTGACCTTATCACGTTTTTGGTAATTTTCGACGCCTGTATCGGGAGACGTGACCTACCGGCCATCGGAGTTCCCTACCGAGCAGGAGAGCAGCGAATTCAGCCCATCCAGTCAATTCACCCAGGCTCCAGGTGATCTTATTACGGTTTTGGCAATTTTCGACGCCTGCATCGGGAGACGGGATCCAGCCATTGGAAATTCCCAACCGGACAGGAGAGCAGCGAATCAGTCTAGCCGTCCCAGGTGCCAGAGGGCCTTATTGCGGTGAGTGGGTTCCAACTATTCCTTTTCTTTATCTATTTCCGGTCAAGCACGCATTCGACCGTAATTGTACGTCATTTTATTTAAATTTCATTGGCAAGTACCATTTACCTTGCCCGAACTGTACCAGTTTTACGTATTTCAACTAAGCGGTTTTTCAAATGGTTATGACGCGTTCGCAAACTTTCGATGCTCCACACATGGCAGGCGCGGAAGGTGACGACAATGCCGAAACATTTTCGGACTCAAATCCTACACCAGAGGATGCAGGAAATTTACAAATTTTACTCTTAAAAAGAGATCGCATTCACGACGAAATATCGCGTTTCAAGTTGTGGTTTGAAACAAACAATTACAGTACATCCGCTTCTCGACTAAGAGTAAGATTGCGCGATTTTGTACGTATTAAGGCTCAGTTTGACAAAATCCATTCTCAGATTGAAGCTCTTGATGATCCCACACAACCGATGCAAGTGTACGAACTTAATACGGTCACATACGGGATGTCGTCAGCTCCCTATGCTGCGATCAAATGTCTAAGATTATTGGCGGATCAAGTGGAATCAACATTTCCAAAAGCTGCCGAAATAATCAAAGACAATTTTTACGTCGACGATGTACTCTGCGGGAGTTCCACCGTAGGGGAAACAATGGAACTTCGTGACCAATTAACGCAAGTGCTTTCCCAGGGACGTTTCACTTTAGCCAAATGGGCTTCCAATAATCCTAATATTGTACCACAAGAAACACCGAAAATGTCTGTTGTAAAATTTGACCAGGTGGACAATGAATCGAAAACCCTTGGTTTAGTGTGGGACACTCAAAAAGATGCGTTCAAATATTCAATCGACAATCTTTCAACTACGGGTAAAGTTTCTAAACGAAAAATTTTATCGGTCTCATCTAAACTTTACGATCCTTTAGGTTTACTAGGGCCAGTAACAGTTCTAGCTAAAATACTTTTGCAGGAAATATGGAATTTAAAACTTAGCTGGGATGAAACTGTGCCATTATCAATTTATTCCTCCTGGAAAAATTGGCTGAATGATTTAAAAATGGCGAATGAAATCACAATTCCTAGGTTCATATTTGAAACGGATGCCAGTGTCGAACTGCACTGTTTTTCTGACGCCTCCATTAAGGCGTATGGCGGAGCTATTTATGTACGTTGCATTAAGAAAAATGGTCAAGTTAATGTTAACTTACTTTGTGCAAAAAGTCGCGTGGCCCCCTTGAAGGCGACACCATTGCCCCGTCTTGAATTGTGTGCGGCTCTACTAGTATGTCAACTATGCGATGCAGTACTTAAAACAATAAAAGTTCCGATTCAAAATAAGTACTTCTGGACCGATTCTAAAATCGCGTTAGCGTGGATTTCATCCCCTTCTAGCTCACTGAAAACATTCGTAGCCAACAGAGTGGCTGAAATTCAAAATCTTAGCAGTATAGAAGAATGGCGGTACGTACCGTCTATTAGTAATCCTGCCGACATAATATCGCGAGGCACAACAGCCAACAAATTATTAAACAACGATTTTTGGTTCCACGGGCCTTCATTTCTTTCATACACAAACGAATTTTGGCCCATACAAGAACCGGTCAGCAAAGTAGATTTACCAGAACAAAAGCAGACTACCTCACTCTTAGTAAACACAGTTCCTGAATGGGAATACTTAAAACAGTTTTCTGATTTTATTAAATTACAACGCTCAATAGCTTATCTAAATCGATTTGTAACTAATATCGGGAATAAAAATAATCAAAACTACGGGCCATTATCATGCTCAGAACTTGATCTAGCTTTAACAATCATTTTACGCCACATACAATCAACCGAATTTGACGAAGAAATAAGAACATTATCAAACAATTTGCCATTAAAACCGAACAGTAAGCTTCTATGTTTGAATCCGTTTTTAGACAAAGACGGAATCTTAAGAGTAGGCGGACGCTTAAATTTGGCTACCACTATTTCAGATTATAAAAAACATCCATATTTGCTACCGAGAAACCATCATGTGACAATGTTAATCATTTCTCACATCCATTTAAGTCACTTACACGCGGGCCCCCAGGCCACGCTAGCGATATTACGGGAAAAATTTTGGGTCCTTACAGGCCGCAATGTGGTCAGAAAAATAATCCAAAAATGTATGCGCTGTTACAGACTAAAACCACAGCCATGTAGCGAACGAATGGGTAACTTACCGAGCTATAGAATAGAGCCCAGTAGACCATTTTCTAAAACGGGTTTAGATTATTGCGGCCCAATCAACATCAATTTAAATCGCGGTAGAGGAAGGCCAAAAATATCGAAAGCCTATATAGCAGTCTTCATATGCATGGCAACAAAAGCGGTGCATTTGGAACTCGTGTCAGACTGTACCACCGAAAGTTTCTTACAAGCTCTGAAAAGATTCGTTGGTCGACGAGGAAAACCCAACGACATCTTCTCTGACAACGGGACAACTTTCGTCGGCGCAAAAAATGAGATGCAACGACTTCTCAGTTCGCGGAATGACCGTAATTACATAATAAAATACTTGACAACTGAGCAGATCAATTTTCATTTTATTCCGCCTTCCGCGCCACATATGGGGGGTATCTGGGAAGCGGCAGTCAAATCTGCGAAAAATCAATTGAAACGCGTTATTGGTACAGCTTTGTTTAATTTCGAAGAAATGCAGACGTTGCTAATCCAAGTTGAAGCATGCTTAAATTCGCGTCCGTTAACCCCTATATCCAATGACCCAAATGATCTGACTCCTTTAACCCCCGGCCACTTCCTCGTTGGAACCCCTCTAACTGCTGTTCCAGAGGACAACGTCACCACGCTCCCAACGAACCGGCTCTCCAGGTGGCAACAAGTCAGTCGCACTCAGCAGCAATTCTGGAAACGGTGGTCAGCAGAATATCTGGGCCAACTTCAAAATCGCCCAAAATGGACCAAGGCCAGCCACAACAACATAAAGGTGGACGATTTGGTGATCATTAAGGAAGACCACACACCCCCGCTTGCATGGAAGATGGGACGCGTCACTACAGTTCATCCCGGTCAAGATGGCCTCATTCGGGTAGTGACAGTGAAAACCGCGAATGGTGTGACTAAACGACCAGTGGTTAAACTATGTGTGCTTCCGACCGAACCATAAACGTGGTTAAATCTATAGGTGTTTAAATCTATTTGTTTTTTGTATATATGTGTTTTATATTCCCTTTTGTCAAAGTGCTGTATGCACCCATTATGTAAATAGGTACTTATTATGTAGTGATATTTGCAGTTTAAACTTTGTCATGTTGAAAGTTAGTTCTTTCAAGGCGCCGGACCATGTTCGGGTTTCGGTTTTACCTACCAACCGCAACCCTTGTCAACAAGCGTCCCCAACTTTCTCTTCTACCTGCAATGTATCGCTTCCGATTTTAACAACTTTGTACATAGACTCCGAACCGTCAACAACAAGTAAATACAGTGTTACACAGCACATGTTTGTGTTTCATTTATATCAATCTTTTTCGGTACGTATGTATGAATAACAATCATACATCCAACAATTCGACAAAACATTTTGATTAAGGATAACTTTAAAACGTTTGCAAGATTTGAGAGCATTCTCTTTTGCAGCTCTAAAGTTAAATAATTGCGACATGTTCTTAAAATTTTTTTTTTCCAAAAATCTGGATATGGTATATACAAAATCAAACCGTATTCATTAACTAAACCTGTAAAAATATGATATTTTATACAATTTAAATAATGTAAATCAGTAGTTTCAGAGATTATCTGCCTAATAAAAATCGACAGAGCAGACAGTCACACGGAAAGGAAGGATCTATTTTTTCATACTCTAGGGGTAATGAAACGATGAGAAAACATGGAAGTAGCCATCGAGCAACTGCCCAATGGACCCTATTACACTACTTCCTTCGTTTACGCTCGGGAAGCAAAAATGAAAATGCAGTAATAAGCTTTAGGACAATACATCTTCAAAGATTTTTAAATTGTCATCACAGACGAAACCACAATCAACAGTACGCCACATGAAATTTCATTTTCAAGAAAAATCTTCTATTTCTATGGATAGTAACTATACAAATCTGTTCTGTTCATCTCTCCTCATTTCTCCGTTACTGGAGGATTTGGACAAAAAAGATTCAACAGTACTCACTCACCTTTGTGCATTCACTTTCCACTTAGACCTTGTCTGCAATGTAGAAATATACTCACTTTTCCACTTTTGGATAAATATAATTAATAATTTACTGAATTCTCCAAAATTTGTGAATAGTTCTGAATTACCTTGAGGCAGAAAATGTGCAGGAGTCAACAGAGAAAGAGAGTGAAAGAAGTATAGTATGGCTACTCTCATGTTTTTTCCACGTTTCAGAACCCCTAGGGTACAAAAAAATAGATCTCCCGTTTCCATCTGTTTGTCGTCTGTCGTTTGTGTCGATATTTATTACACAGATTATCTCCGAAACAACTGAACCAATTGTAAATGTATATATTATGTAAATCTTATAAAAAATTCTTCTATACTTGTAATTAATCCGTCTAAATTTTTTACGTAAACATCCACACTTTTGGAAAAGGAAATCTAAATTCTAAAACATTTTATAATTTAACCACCTGCCCATCCTCATCAGTAATATACTGTTACGAAATACGCCCTTACGTCGCCCCGGTACGACGCCTGTGGCCATCGAGAACTTTCTGGTCGCACGCGGGTGATGAGTGATGACTCATCGAACGCGAACACGGCATTCGTATACAGACAAGTCTGGAGCCGGCTACCGGAAGTCTCGATTGCGGGGTCTAGAAAAAACCTAGAGGCGGCGTTCGAGATCCGTCTAGAGGAATGCAGGGATTCAAATAGAGGCCACCGTTGGGAACCATTGTTCATTCAGCTAGTTGAGGCAAGAGCGTCCAGTGAAATTCGCCGGAATAATTTCTGTACATAATCGTTGTCGTGTATATTCGAGTTAGTAAGGAATACATTGTTGAGTTTTAACCTACGCCGATTATTCACCGTTCAACGTAACAACACTATGTGGTCATTAAATAAGTACACTATTATGTGTCCATGTGGTCTAGAGATCATAGCTATTCAGAATATACAAAACGTTTATCTAACTTTTTTAGGTATCTATAGGTAGTACTAGAACCAATATCAGAACTCTAAGGAAGAAGAAAATATAACATTTTACCAACCAATGGCAGTGACGAAAACTAACTACTTATTAGACAATTAGCGAAACCACGTTCCATAGAACGTACAACACGCAAAACCTAGAAAAAACTGTTATATCTATAGAAACATAGGGGGTTTGCACGTTAACATAAAATACGTTGTATGGAACGTAATTTCGCTAATTGTCTAATATTATAAACCACGTAAAACCATAAAAACAGTAGTTCAAATCTAATTGGGTTAGTAAATTGTATTGTGCTTAATAATTAATAGTCACAGTACTCCATTTTGTGCCAGAAACAGCAAAATACGCATAACCAATTGTAGACCACAAACATTGAAGTAAATAAGCTGCTCTTGTTAAAGTTGAAGCCATCAGTAAAAAGCCGCAGAAATAACGTTGTAATTTCCATTATTATAATAAAAGCGTAAAGAACTAAAAATGGCAGAAAAAATACTGGATTTTTCTGAAACAAGAACAACTGTGAAATATGAAATCCTTTAAGTCACACTTACGGATAAAACTCCAATAACCAAGAAAAGATAGTATTCAAATGATACTAGTAAAGCAATAAGTTTGAGGTCTCTTTCCATCGTCGGCTGTATAACTTTTCCAAAATCACCTCGCGCCTTAACTAGGTACCCTGGCAAAGTCGGTCCGCAACGCACAATCATGGCGATATCAAAAACGCTGAAAACCTGAAAGATGAAAACTGAAGTGTTTGGTGATTCGCAGTTTCGACACACACAAAGCAAGATTTACCACGCCTAGAATTCCTAAAATTAAGGTGTAAAAATCCGATATGCACAAAAAGGGGTGACTGCAGAAGTGTCGGATGAAATAGTAGTTGCGTTTCAGATGTGGTCCGATAATTGAGTAAAATGGTATTTTCATTCTGAACTGAAATTTTTGATGGTTGACATTTTCTTCGAAATTTCGACAGAAGTTGGCTGTTGTTTAAAGGGTGTGTCACATATTTTGACTTTTGAAAATTTGAAAATTCAAGATGTAAGCATGAGTACCAGCACAATTTTCATCAAACGCCCCTTAAATTACTGTAGGAGTTTAGCAGTGGTGAAGGAAAAATACAAAGAGTATTCGCCGGTTTTATCTGCTATCATGTGGACAGTGTCTGGACTGTACGCTGCTGCCCAAAGTAACTTTAACAGCAATATTACAGGGATTACTTTGTCTTTTCCCGTATCTCAAATCTTAATAATGCTAATCGTTTCCGCTATGCTTTGCAAAGGTTTAGCTACAGTAAGTGTTATTTCAAAGAAAAAACATTTTTTACTTAAGTCATTGCAGAACAACATCATGCTGGTACTCCCTTGGCTTAGTGTAACAACTTATGCTTTGTATTTCAACCACTACCTAGGACTACTTCAAACATTAACAACAGTGTTGCGCATAAAGAAATTGTCTTGGCTGCCCTGGTTCAACTTATTTCTGAACATTTTGCTACTGGGTTAGTATTACTCACGATTTAACGATTTCTCACGGTTTGACATTTCAGTGATACGAGTAACTCTCACAATAAGGGTACTTCAACTATGTATACACTTATGGTTTAAAAAGAAACTAAAGGAAATGAAGCAACACTCGTTTTGAAAAAATAATTTATTCTTTAAGAAAGACAAATACAAAGAACATTTTAAATTAGTGAGTCTAACAATGAAAACTTATCCTATACGCTAACAAATACAGCATGAGAACACATTCCTTAATTTATTTTTCATGAAAAACAGACAAGGTACAAACCTATTATGGAGAAGGTTTTTTAGCAGGATTTTCCTCCGTGGAATCTTCCTCTTTCCTCTTTCGCTTGACCAAGTGGGAAATATCATTAACCTGCTTTGATGAAGAAGCGTCTGACGTTCCATTTTTTTTAGGAGCGTTTTCATCAACGGAAACCGTTAGTTGTTTATTCGCAATCTGTAAATATTTCAAAGTTACGAAAAAATACCGAAAGTAAAATATCGTCAAATATACCTCAGTCTTCAAGTTCTGCATATCGGCAACCTTTTCTTGTATTTCAGGAAGTAAATTATTCAGCTCTTCGATTTCTTCCGCATTGGCTTCTTTATGTTCTTCATCCTTCTCCAGACTTGCCACCTTATTTTGTAAATATTTGTACGAAGCGTTAAAACTTCTGATAGCTTCATCAATCTGTGCATTCGTCGAGTAAGCACCTCCTATTTTATAGTAAGTTTCGGCTAAAGTTCTACTATCATCCCCATATAAAGTTTTCTGTATTTTTAAACCCTCTTCCATGTCATCAACAGCAGATCTAAAATTACCGCTTTCTAAAGACACTTCTCCAAGGACTATAAGTGTTTCGGCTAAGTTCTTTTCACCATCTGTACCTCTCTTGGTAAAAATTTTCTTAGCTAGTTCTAACACTTCCCATGCTACTTGCAAATCCGTTAATTCATCTTCAGCCTCACCTGTTATAACAGTAATTATGTAACATAAACCTTGAACGTATATATTCGATATTACCTTCTTTCTTTTCTGAGGAACTACCAGCCTCATTATTTTGATCCTCATCAGTTTTCTCCTCTTTTTCTTCATCATTTTCTTCGCTAGACGCCGCTGACTCTTCTGGTTTCACTTCTTCAGCTTTACCAACATCGCCATTAACTTTTTCTTCGCTTTCCTTACTTTCCTCTGTTTTGTTCTCATCTTTTTCTTCTTCAGGATCGGTCGATTCGGTTTCGTCAACGTCTGACTCTTCTTCGACATTTTTCAAAACTCCTTCTCCAAGAGGTCCACTTTCTTTCCGCGATAATTCCAATAGTGATTTACCATAGTAAAGATAGACATCTCCGAGGGAATCATGTATTTCACTACCGTGTTCGACTGCCAGCAATTCACTAGCTCGACTAAAAGCACGAACAGCTGTGTCGTAGTCTTGCAGGACATACGCTCGAACTCCTTGGCCGTATAGTTCTTTGGGGTTGGAATTTTGGGGGTCTAAAGCAACGTCTGCCATCTGAAACAAATTAAGAATATTCTGTTCTTAATCTGTAAAGACTCACTCTCTCAACACACGATATGTTAGGTTAAGTACGTGGAACGTTAATAAATGCAGAAAAAGTAGGCGTTTTTACAAGAACTGAAGCAAGAAACTGATAAGATCTATAAATTTGAACTTCTCTAAAAGACTGTTTAAGAAAATAATTGCTTTGTGAAATAGGAATCGACCACCGAGATTTTTTTACATAAAATAAATGAGTTAACGGATTAAATATTTGTTTTCTGTTGTCAATTTAGCACAGTTCTTAGGTATACGTAACATATAAGTATTTTTTAAAAGCCTGCCTACGATTTGATAAACTATACAGACGAAATATTCAATTATAATCTAAAAAAATCATGGATTCAGGACAAACATAATATATTGTTCTGAACAGATTATTGGGGGGTTTTTTATTTGACAAGTTTCTACATTTTTACAAGTGGAAATGCCCTTTAAAAGTTTTGGCCTTTATATTTAATGACTTCATAGGCAATCTTGACACCTTTTTGCTCACATTTCATTGGTTAAAATTACAGAATTAACAAAGCGTGGTTTAGATTTAAAATCTTGACATACTCTTTTTTTGACTTCTAATTACTCTTCTAGTTTTATTTAAATAAAAAATGTCATTAAGAGTATTCGTTTGTAATTTTGTAGGAACCTGTTTAGTTTACTTTTTCTTAACGGACGTATGAAAGTTTGAACATTACCATTTTTCTACAAAATTTATTCAATCTGCAAAATATTTATTCTAATGAAACATGGACTGTTTAGAAATTTTCTTCACACCGAATTTATTGTGTGGATTTCGTGTAAATAAAATGTTTTATTTTGAACTGGTTCCAACATATCCATTTAAATAATTTGTAGCTACGTGAATATTCCACTTTAATTTTATGAAGTTCACGAGCTAAATTTGTTTTGACTTCATAAAGAATATGGAGTAAAAAAATTAAGCCTAATAGATCATAATCTGTACCATCGGTAGAAATAAAAACTGGAAGACAACAAACGATATTTAAATTTTTTATAATAGGAGTATGATTTTATATTGTTTATGAATCCGCTTCGACTTATTTAACTTCTAGAAGTTACCGCCAAAAAAATTAAATTTGCAAAGTCAAACCATTTTTAATTTAAAAACAGGTATAACAAAAAATTACAGAATTTAGAGTAACTTTGTAAATATAAATAACACTATTACTATTTGGCAACGTAAAAGAAACTAATTTCTCTTTATTGTTCAAAACGCGCAGAATCACGATTCAAACATGACACGGAGTCGAATGCGTGGTTGTGAATATGTTAAAATACGTGAAAAATTGAGATTAAAATAACTGAACAAAATATAAATTTGCAATCAAATATTTAATTGAGCTTTAATAAATCTGTTCTAAGAATTTTAATTTCAACGAACTGAAAAACTTAAAAAAAAAAACGGTTTTTTATCATTGATTCTTATTTTTTCTTGATACAGTTTTTCCAACCCTGTACATCGAGAAAATGCCCTTAGTCATTCTTCAAATGGACCTGGGACGTTTTATGTTCTGGAAGTAAAAATCCACAAACTTTCCTTGTATTGGAAACACAATCAATACCACACCGGTTCGGCTTCAAAACTAAGAAAAGTTCAGAGAATGTAATTATGAACTGTTTTTACTTCCCAAGCGTTTCAGATTCTCTCGACATTTCGTAACCTCTAGAGTTCGAAAACATAGGTCTCTCGTTTCCATTTGCTCGTCTGTCTGTCTCTGTGTGTCTATTTTTATTAAAGAGATAATCTTCGAAATTATTGGATCGATTGTCGTCAAATTTTATATGTATTTGGGAATATCATGTCCCACCAACAATGTGATGACGTCACCTCCAAATTTCGGCTTACAAAATGTTGTAAATTTTATAAAATAACATTCTCAAATACTTGCTTATTAGCGATCCTGATATTTATGAAAAAATTAAAATTGCATAACATTTTATAATTTAACTCTCCCAAAAAAAAGTTCCGAATAAATCCTATCTTAAAATATGTAAAACATTCTGAGTATACTTGTTATTTATCAATGCATTCATATGCTTTAGAATTATGTACTTACACACACAAAAAAAGACTGATTTATTTATTGATCAAATCAAGACCGGCTCAGCTCATTATCCAGAAAATTTGGGAATACAATAATTATTATTATTAGTATTACACTGCTCTTATCCATTCATCTTATGTGCCCTTGCTAAAATGTTGATCACGTCATCACGTTTTCTAATGGAAAAATTCACTAAAAAAATACGTATAGCATGCTTCTTAACCTTTCCTTTAACGCTATATATAAATATTTTGATTTTAACTTCTAGGGGTTATCACAAAAAAAATAAAATTCTAAAAATCTAATTTTATTACTTTTTTTTTAAGTACTTCAAAAGAGAGGAAAGTTCGGTCTAAATAACCTTCGACCATTTTTTCTATGTTTATCTTCACCAGAGTATTAAAACGTACGGTGTGATTTTTTTAAATTTCTGATCTAGTTTTCGTGACCCATTACGTTTTATCTACATTTCCGTGTCAAGTTGCTACCTATGTTTCGGGCGAATTTATTTTGTCAACAAATTCTTCGGTGACTGGAGCAGAAATTTAAAAAATCACCCGATATACAAAAAAAAAAAAAAATACCATCATCCTTTTGTTTGAAAGTCGCAAGATCTATTTTAAGGAAAGTCCTTTTTTTTATAAAACTCATTGTTTTTTTGAAAATCTTAATAAAATTTAAAAGCATAAATTTTTTTGAAATGACATCATAAACTTTTTAATCGAATAAACATCGACCATGAGATATGACATCTACAATGTAATGTGAATAACAACGTTAGTGCTCTGAAACTAGATGAATCGATCAAAGCATTTAATTTTAATATACTACTCGCCGAAAAAATCGCAACACCAAGAAGTGGCGGTTTTTTATTGACGAAACTTTGTGGAAATATGTATCTATGTTTGATAATGTACTGATAAAAGTTACAACAGATTTTACCGAAAACGGAAGCTTATAAATTTTTTTCTTTCTTATTGTTCTCCGCCACTAATAATTTCTTTGCATTACTGTTCACCATGGGAATTTGTGTTTTATTGTGCTATCTGACAATATTAGTACTGTCACAATGTCTCGTGTGCGTAGACGTCGAAATTTTCAACAACTAAGTCTGTTAGAGCGAGGTCGCATTTTGGGACTTCGCGAAGCAGGGTTGTCATTTCGGGAAATCGCTGCTCGCGTGGATCGAAATGTTTTAACTGTATTGCGATGCTGGCGAGCATGGCACGAGGAAGGTAGAGGTCACCGAGCTAGAGGTTCTGGGCGCAGGAGTAGCACGAATCCACGTGAAGATCGGTACCTACGAACATTGGCAGTAAGAAACCGACATGTGTCTACACGCAGGATAGCAGATGACTGGTATGCGGCGGTTGGTCGGCCGATTGCGATGAGAACAATTTACACCCGCATTCAGTCTTTTGGACTAAGTTCCTATCGTCCCCATTTGGTACTACCGCTAACTCCAGAACATCGCCGTCAACGCTTGGAATGGTGCCGCGAACGTTTAGGCTGGGATCTTGAGTGGAATTCAGTAGTCTTTTCAGATGAATCCCGCTTTTGTTTAGGCATGCACGACGGTCGGCAAAGGGTTAGAAGATTTCGTGGAGAACGAAGGAATATTGCTTTTTCTGTGGAACGGCATGTGGCTCGAACTGTGGGCATAATGATATGGGGAGCTATTGCATATGGCAGCAGGTCACCTTTAGTCATGATTCAAGGCTCTATGACAGCTCAACGATATGTTGATGAAATCCTGGAACCGGTTGTTATACCGTTTGTTCAAACCATCGAAGATGCCCTATTTCAGCAGGACAATGCCCGGCCGCATATTGCACGGGTCTCTTTGAGGTGCTTAGAAGATGCCCAAGTGCAAATTCTTCCTTGGCCTCCTCGTTCGCCGGACCTATCACCTATTGAACATGTGTGGGACATGATCGGCAGAAGGCTAGGTGAATTACCACAGTATCCACAGACTCTAGCTCAACTTAGACATGAAGTCCAGGTTGCCTGGGAATCCCTGCCTCAGGAGGATATCAATAATTTACTTAGAAGTATGCCACGGCGAGTTGCAGAATGTGTAAATGCAAGGGGTGGACCGACACATTATTAATTTTTTACAGTTGTTGTTCGTCGAATTTTAAACTGCAAATGTTATGGTGCACTTCTTTTGTTAAGACAATGACACCCACAAACTTTAGTTAAAATAAAAACACTACTTCTTGGTGTTGCGATTTTTTCGGCGAGTAGTATATGTATGTATTGAACGAACGTACTGGGTAACAATTTCAAAATACAAGAGAATTATTGCAGAAAAATAATGCAAACAAGAGCAATTTTTTAATAATAATGGAGTATTTAACGAGGATTTAGCCACCAACCATAAATGTGTTAATTTTTGATATGTCGAATGTAACACTGATCATAAGGTTAGTATTAGATCAGAATTTAGAAATTACAAAACCATCCTGAATCCTGATACAATCAATATAATACAAACATTCTTACTGTTTTTGAGACACTGTAATGCGTAATTATAAAAAAAAAACACATTAATAAAATCCAAGCATTATCGTAATTCGGCGAACATTTTTTTTAATGACGTCATCAATTCTTTAGAGGATGAATCAAGTTTAATTAATATTTATAACTAAATGAATACTACTATCTTACCTAAATTTTATTTTTACTCTTATTGGTATTACCTAAAACTTAAAAAACAGTCGGTTCGTTGATTTCGAAGATTACATGTTTAATAGAATTGCCAACAGACAGATAAAACGCAAGAAAGCATGAAATTACACCTTCGTCAAAATGACCCTGTTAGTGTGTTGGAATAGTTTCCTTAGCATTCGCTCGAAACGTAAAAACAAGAAAACATACACTTTATTCAGCTTGTATAAACAAATTGTATCTACTACCATATGTCGGTTCAGACATGTTAACATTTTTTTTTGTAAAATAACGAATTTCTGTCTCTCACTGTTGCTCCTTAGTTAAGAAAACGTTTTCAAATCAATGACATCTTAATTCTAAGTTACTTAATTTCTTTAGCAAACGAAGCTCCCACACTTCCTGTCAATGTTTTAATATTTTTGATGGAAGGAAAAAATTAAAGTTACAAAAAATAACAAACTTAAGAAGTACAACATACATAAGTACAACTCATAGATAAATTTGTTGATATCCTGAAAGAATTAGATTAGAATTAGAAATAAAGAAAATTTGGTGTACAAATTCACAGAACTACACAGAATTTTAGCATAAAAACACTGAAAAAGGAAGAAGATTCTAAAGCACATAAAAGAACTACTGAAAGGGTCCAAGACTTTTGTGCCAACTTGTAGAATTCAAGTATGTTTCCAACAAACAAAACTATGATCTTATGATGATTTTACACTTGTTATAATGTTATACATAACTATATCCTCTTATTTTAACTTCATTTCTCAAACTCTTGGACTTTCGATGCAACAAGTACGTATAAAATAACTACCTGCATATCATTATTTTTTGGAGTGCCAAATATTTACCTTAAGTTGACTGATCGGTTAACCGTTGGATGAACTTATCTCCGCGCACATTTTGCACTACCAGCGACCTCCGCCCTGGTTAACACCCAAAAATGAATTCTTAATAACCCACTAAACAAAGAAACAAAAAACCGGAAATGAGGATGGTACGAATTCGGCGAACACTGAAATGAGGGTTGAAAAATGATTATAATGACCCTGGTAACGAGACGCCCGGCGTCGGCGTCGTATCGACGTCCAAAACAGACGTTCACAAGATACGCAACGCGGCAAAGCAGTAGTGCTTTGGCCTTTGCCTGGGTTAGCTATCGGGGAAAACTCCGATGAGAGATGTGAAGTTTCGTCTTGCGTGAAACGCACAATTTTCTTTGTAGGCATTTAGGACATGACGCTCAAACTGTGACTAGCAAAATCATCCAAGTCAATTAAGTCAAATTAATCCTGTCGTTTGCTGTTAACCGTTGTAATCAAAAAACATAATTCGAAGCTCCTCAACTTTGACGTTCGAGCTGTTGAAGTTAATCAAAATTCTTAGCACGTATCAAGCTGAGAAGATCACGTCTAGTTCGAGGTAAGATTTTCCTGCGAATCATTTCACATGTAGACGTCTTACTCGACAAAAGGGAAATTTATTGAGGCACAAACAAATTGTTTTTCGTTTGGGGTTAGATTTCGCCGTTTCACCTTGCCGGAAATGAGGAACTTGTAAGGTATTCGGATAGACACCTTGGGGAAATAACATTCCACACAAAAGTTCTTTAGAACACTGCCGGTTCCTTACATTTTCCTTTTCGCGAAGCGAATCCTACCGGAAACAGTTCATTTTTCATTTTAAATTCCCACGAAACACGGTCATTGAAAAAAACAATCAAGTGGTGCCACCATAAAATTCGTACAGCTATCGTAACTGCCTGTTATTGTGGAACCGTAATAATCGTTCGTCAAGTCCCCGCTTTATCTCAACTTGACACCTTTGCAATTATGAAGATTACCTTGTCAGCGTACAACCCTTCTGAAGCCATACTTCTCAGGTCGATGCCTCGCTGACGTGTATCATTACTCTGTTGTTGCGGTGACATTACTCTTTAACACGTCTTTAACACTAGAACGACGGAGGCGGTCATTTGACCGCTTTTGAATTTTTTATTCTTGATATCTCTGGTTTCATAAAGTTTTTCGTTATTATCCTTCGTGACAATTATTTATTTGTTCTTGATTGTATGTGGAAAAAATCGCAATTCAATAGGACTGTTCGTCACCTGTGTGGGGATATGTCTTCCTAGAAAGACGGAGTGCGGTCATTTGACCGCTGCAATAGAATCGCTTCAAAAATTCTCGAAATAATTAAAATTACCTGATACCCCATACTGTCAACATCTGGACATAATTTCCAATAAGATGGTTGGTAATTTTCGTGGTAATTTAATTTATTTTGGCATTGCACGTAATTAAATTCTTTGGTTTGGATCTTGTTTTTTTCGTGAAGGGTGTGCTTTTTCTTGGTGATTTTTGCTTTGACAATGTCGGAACATTCGGTGAGAAAAAATATGACAGATTTGGAATTACTCGCAGAATTGAATAATTCGCCTCAAGACGGATAGTGGTAATGTATATGACACAAAAGTTCTGAAGTATAATACTATCACGCCGACTGTATATCAAGGGAAAAAAACAAAAATGTTCTGCTTTTGAGCACAATGCATCCTGATATGATAATTCAAGATAATCGAAAAAAGCTTCTGGACACCATAGTCTATTGCAACTATACAAAATATGGCGACGATATTGTGGACCAAGTGACTAGAAAAAATTCGTTCAAAGCGGGATCAAGGACAAGTTATTTATAACATTTTAGACTTGGCTGTAATAAATGCATGGATTTTATATCAGAAAGTGATAAAGAAGAAAATAAGCAGACTAAAATACCTCTAGAAATTGTGAAAAGAACTCGCAGCAAGTGACGTTGGGTCAGGTCAGGTCAAACTAATAAAATCACCTACTGCCTAAGAAAAAGTTCACAGGAAAAAGAAAACAATGCCATGCAACTAAATGCCGCAATAAAGCAAACCGAACGCGTGATAGATGCAAAAATAATTTATGCGGAAAATGTAATAATGTTACAAATTTGTTGTATGCAAATTGCTTTGAATCATAAGTTTCATTTATGATTTCCACTTTCTAATGTTTATGTTACTGTTATTTAGTTATTTAATTAATTTTAATAAAGTAATTACGCTATTGGCCACGTTTTACTGAAAAAAAAGTACAGCGGTCAAATGACCGCAAGCCGTCCGTAGAGGTATGCGTTAAATGCCGTCCTCCTAGTGTTAAACATAAAGCAACTCCTACAAAAGGGAAATGTTTATCTTCGACCACAACAAAAATCATTTGTAAATAAGAAACAAGCATTCGTGCAACAGCCAAGCTATAAGACGCGTCGTTAAAATTAGAATTTGACTGTCACGGATTGTTACGAGGTTGAATGATGATATTAATATTTGACTTGAACTTCAAAGTGCCTTAAAGTTCATAGTTAGGGACGCCGCAAACTTCTATAATATTCATACATGAAGTACATAAATTTCAATCAATGTCGAAAATGTCAAAGCTCCCCTAGAAGTAATTTAAATTTTAGTAGTGTGTCAGTGAGGCTTCAAACTTTAATCTATGAAACTCTACAAATACAATAGACAAACTTGTTTACAATAGAAAGACGATTTAGCAACTTAGGTTCAAGTTTTAAGATATGGTCAGGCAGTGTGAATAAATACGTCCAATGAGAAAAAACAGAAAAATTGGTCGCAGAGTATTTCCACAGAACTTCCCTCCGACCCCTGGAATATAATAAAACATATCTAGGTTATCTAGAAAAATTATAAAATTTGATTTTGCGAATTTCATTTTTTTGATGGAAACACCAAGAAGTTATAATAAATATATACATGTAATGTTAAAGTAAATGTAAAGAAGCTTGCTACGCGTATATTTCAAATGAGTTTTATTTAAAAAAATTTGTGATGAAGTTATCAACATTTTTGCAAGGATATGCAAGTATACCATTTAAATAGGTGCACTGTAATACTAATAATAACAGTACTGTTTTCCTAAATTTTCGGGACAATGGAGTGTGCCGTTCCCGATTTAATCGATAAAAAACATTGACCCAATCATTATTTTTTTTGCTAGCCTGTATAAGCAATTCTAAAAAATGTGAATTTCAATAGGATTAATCAATAATGGAAATTCAGAATTATTTTTTTCGAACTCAAAAATACTTACTAAAATCATTCGGTCACTTGTACAGGTTCACATATTTACAATCTTGTGACAAAGCAATCGTACACTGTAATAAATTTCGAAAATTGAAAATAAATTTAAAATTTGGACCAATGCTGGAATATTTTTTTAAATTAGATTAAATATATCCGAAAGATACAGACCTGGAATACAAAAAAGCTTTCGTCGTTTGACGGAATAAATGCTTTTCTTTTTGCTCCAAAGCTTTCAATTTGTGATTTAAAGGCACACAGGCTAGAATATGTCGAAGAAGCAATAGCTTGGACATTAATGACATCGATTTTAAGCGACTATAACCTTTATGAAGACTACATAATGGCGAACGTTGCATTTAAAGCAAACTCAAAAGGTTAAATACCTTTTGCTGTGATTTAAAAAAAAACCTAAAAGGAGGTAATGAACAAACTGTTGTACGACAGAAGACAAATTTAAATAATAAATTTATTGTGTTTCCATTAGTCCTCCGTTTTCCTTGGAACAAAAATAACCAGGAAACTTTTACATTCTTTGATGTTGTAAATTAGTGTCGGTAATAATTTTTAAATTAAATCGTGCGTCAACAAGAGACGGTTGGGGCTGCTAGTCACTAAGGATCATTTTTCATTCAACACTCAAACTGCCACTTCTCTGATATTTTCCAACAGCCTGTCGTCCAGTGAATGGTTATACATTTTAAAAATGGTGAATATGAATATATCCATTAATTTTGTTTCGCTGTGAGAAAAGTGTTTAATTTAAATTACTGTGAAGAATGTAACGATTTTACTTAATTGAATACTGGTTGAAATATTACTGATATGCAGACATATGTCGTACATTTTTGCAAAAGTCAATGAAATACAAAACAACTTTTTCCTCCCTCCGAAATTCCACTATTGGTACGTTTCCAACAAAATATGCCACCAGACAAGTTTCCCAGACACACAAAAAGTTATAAAATGACATTCAAAATTCACCTTTAAAAGCAACATAGTTTCTCTTTTGGCTAAAAATAACACTGTACGGAAATTGCAGACTCTCAGAAAAATTCTTTTCATTATTTGCCTTTCTATAAAGTGCTACAATAAATCACACATTAATTATAAACAACAAAAATCGCTTCACGTAAAATTTTGTTACAACGTCTTCTACGAAAAAAATTGATCCAAAGTCATTCACACAGAACTTACCTTGGCCGTAAAGTACAATCTTATCCGGCTTATTTGAAAATTTATAAAGTTTGATTTTGCGAAAATCAATTTTTTCTTCACGATAATTCGGTTAGCTTATTACCATCTAAACTTTTTACAAGGGAGCATCGATCGGAATAAAAAAAATCACTTGTTTTCCAGGCCTTCATTAGTAACCCTGTACGATCAGGATGTCGGGAGTTGTTCTGGTTTTTTAGGTATTGGGTGTGGTTAGTTAGACTGAAATCGACAAGAAATAGCATCGACTGATCCTTCGTAAGAATCTTTGGTAAAATAACGGGTTACAGCACTTACATTAAAAATTAATTTCTGTTTGATTATACATTGTTTCTTGAGTTTTTAACAATTTAGAGAGAAAAGATCGAACTATGTTGATATAGTGATATTTTTTTTTAATAATGGTAAATAAATTGGTCCAAATACTTGTATAAAATGTAACACCAAATAACAAAATTATTTTGCTTCGGAAAAAATCTCCAATTCTTGGACTCTCTTTCAATATTCCAAAATACACTTATATAATATTGTAAAACAGCAAAGCAGTCAATTTTTTTGTACAGTCACTTTGTTGTTAATCTCCAAAACAAATTGAACAGATTCCTGTGCAAATTTAGACTTATTTTAAAAATATCATGTAATTAATAGAACCAAAATAGGTTTTCTGGGAAAAAAAAACAATTAAAATTATACAATATTTTCTCAACTACAAAACATTATTTTCAAATGCTGTGCACGCTTTAAGGTTATCGTGACCATGGTAAATCGATAATCGTCTCCAAAAACTCGAAGTAGATCTCATTTTAAATATGCTGAATAGCATGTTGCCATACACGTATTTTCTTCATACACTCTCGTTTCTTAAATCGTTTATATAGGTTTTTGCCAAAACCAGGATGGTTCGAGTGAACAATCTAGACGGATTAATAAACTACAAGTACTTGAGTATGTTACTTCATAATTTAAATTACATTTACCATGCAAAATTTTGAGGTGAGGTCATCAAAATCAAACTCATTTTTATATTCGTAACATACATATCAATTTTCACAACAATCGGGCAGTAGTTTCAGAGAAAATTTGCCTT